AGAAACCCGCCGTCAAAATATCCAGTGTCTCTGATGTCTGCAAACAAGGATAACCAGAACTCCACGCACTGGTTTCGCAGAAAACCCCACCAACACTCGATCCTCTGATTGGCGGTGCTTGCTCCCTCCAGGTAGCTATCAACAGTGCCGTCTGGATGAAACGGGACGAGGAACCGCTGAAAGCCTCTAACATGGCCGTTTTCAGTCCCTAAATCGCCTCTCACAATCCTAGGGCAGCCCCCTAAACGTTGGACTGCATCAACGTAATAACCCCCAATCAACTTGGGGTCACTACTCGTGGTATAGACATTAAGCCAGATGATTTTTCTCGAAAAACCGTCAATGCTTCCGTTGATACAAAAGCCATATGGCTTCAGCTTGTCATAGCTGTCCATGTGCCAAATGAAGTTAGGCCCTCTCGAAAAGTAGCTCCGTCGTCTTAGGCGTCTTGCTTGCCTTAAAGAAACTCCTCTAGGATCTAGCTCCTTCAGCACCAACCTCACATCCTCCTTCTTAACGAGTAGTCCATGCTCTCTGCACTTTGCGTACATCCACCGGTACCCATGAAGCTGACCAGAGAACTGTAGCTCGTTACTGATGAATTCCACCAGGACCGCAAGATCACTGTATTCTTTACGACGAGAAAGTCCCCTCGCCCTGAGTAATCTTTTCAAATGTCTCTCACTAATGTCGAATCCATGTCTACATCCAAGTACGGATTTGATGTCTTTATATGTCAGGCCAATACTAAAATAGAAATGAATAAACTTCTCCCATGGATGATCTGTTTGCGCCTCCATTGTTTTGTGTCTGTTTACTTCTTCTTCTTCTATTTAATGGCGGTTGGCAAACAACTATGTGGTGCAATACCGCCACTAACCAGCAAGGAGTGTGAATCAGGACATCTGTTTTACTTTGCGAGATCTCGCAAAACGTTTGCGAGATCTCGCAATACTTTTGCGAGATCTCGCAAAACGTTTGCAAGATCTCGCAATACTTTTGCGAGATCTCGCAAAAGTTTTTTTTTTTCCTCCATGTCCCTTTAGGGGCTCCGTAATTTCAGACCCTTCCATGATTTCTATGTGGAAAAACTTGCAAATAGCAGGGTATTCAAATACTTATTTTCCACACTGTATGTAAACAATATAAAAATGATCAGAAAATAAGACACTTTCAGTCCAGGTTAAACATGCAATGTTGTTAATGAGAATTCTGTTATTTCTCCTTCTATAGTTAACTGAGAAAACATAATTTTAATTGCCAAATACATTTCCACTAAGTGTTGGTTTTGGGCCTTGTTATCTTTTTAACTGTATACTGAAGGAAAAAAAAAAATATATATTTTTTTTTTATTAAGAAGAAAGTTGACTTTGTCATTCATGTTTTCTTTTGGATGGAAATGTATTTTAGGGGGAAACTGCTTTGTTTGCTTATCTTTTAATTCTATAATGTACTTTAAGGTTGCATTCATTCTATCAAGGGAAAATAAAGCATATTTTTTTCAGGATTTTTTAGGTGTATAACAAAGCACATTAATACATATATATATATATGAATAATCTTTTCCATTTTTAGATAAATCTCTGAAGTTCTTTGATGAAAAGAAAAGCTGGATTGAAGCCTTGCAGCATTGCCGTGGATTAAATTATTTTCTGGTTGAAATCACCAGCAAAGACGTGCAGGAAGAGGTGAAAAGCCTCCTACCTCATAACTTGACGGATGGAGTTTGGGTTGGTTTGGAACGGTCCATCTTTGGTACTAATTTGGAGTGGAAGTGGGTATCGGGACTCACAAATGTTTACCCCCAGTGGGCCCAAAGTTTTCCTGTTGACATCCTGAACAATCACTGTGGAAAGGTTACCTGGCTGGATCAAAACACAACACAGCTGCTGGACGCACTGTGCAGTGATGAATTACCTTATATCTGTCAGGGTTTGGCCTAATTGTGAAATATCTGATGAAATAAGGTAAGCTCTATCGTTTGTTACTTGGTACTTGAATAGGAAAAATTATATAAAGTAATTGTGTTTTTATTTGTGTTTTTTTTTTTTTTTTTACAGCAAACCCAATATAAGAACTATGTAGAGTTCTAAAGTATATTTATCTTATATTTACATTGGAAAATAATTCCAATGACTTGTGATTGGATTGCATGTCGTTACAATCACTGTTTTGACACTTTTTTCTATTAGTAACTAGTTTAGGTTTTTGCAAAGCCTTAGTCTAAAATTAAAAAGGCTTGCATGTCTAAAAAAAATGGTTCATACACACGGATTATATTTTCAAAAAAGGCACAAAGAGATTGGTGTTTGCAATTCAGCAGAAAATGTAAAAACGGTCTTTAGCATGTTTGCTTACAAGTATGTTGATCATATTCGGATGACCAAACTGGAGTGGAGGATATGCAAATGTCAACTTTTACCACATGCAAAGAGATTTTCCAAACACAAAAACTCACCTGCATCCTCGGTTGTTGTTTTTTTCAGTACGTCTAAAAGTAACATGCAAACTATCAGAAAAATATCCGTGGTCTTTGTTGCCATAAATGAAGCATTAGTATGATGCCAGATGGTAGAGGGATATTCTATATAAATTTAAACAGTTTGACCGTCAAAAATAATCCACCTGCTCCTTTCTCTATTTAAACTACAGTCCTGCTCACCATTATTGGCACCCCTGAAGATTTAGTACATATGATGGACTATTTCCAAAAGAAAAGACATAAAAAAAAGAACAATTGATCTTCACAAAAGAGAACCTGGACAACCTCAAGCCTTCTGGGACAACATTTTATGGACAGATGAAACAAGAGTGGAGCTTTTTGGTAATTCACACCAACAGTATGTTTACAGACGGCGCAATCAAGCCCTTAAAGAAAAGAACACCATACCAACATTCAAGCATGGTGGAGGATGCATAATGCTGTGGGGCTGCTTTGCGGCATCTGGTACTGGAGGCCTTGACCGTATCACAGGCATCATGAAATTATCAAGAAATTCTAGAGCGAAATGTCTTGCCCAGTGTAAGAAAGCTTGGTTTGAGGCAAAGATCCTGGGTCTTCCAGCAAGATAATAACCCAAAGCACTCCTCCAAAAGCATGCAGGCATGGTGGAAAGGGAAAAAATGGACTGTTTTAAAATGACCAGTAATGAGTCCTGATCTCAATCCCATTGAAAGTCTTTGGGTAGAGCTGAAATCTGCAATTGGAGAAAGGAACGCTGCAAATGTACAAGTGCTTGAACAGAGTGCAAAAGTAGAGTGGGAGAAAATGCCACCCGAGAAGTGCAAAAAGCTTATAGATGAATATATAAACGTTTGGAGGCTGTCATTGCTGCCAACCAAATATTGCAACCAAATATTACGGAGGGGTGCCTGAATACTGGATCCTTCTGTTCTGAGTTGTGACAAAAATAATATATCTTAAGAAAAGTCTCCTTCATTTTACACCCACTCTTCTTCATAAAGGTTTATCATTTCATTTCATGTTTATTCAGTTTTAAATGTTCTATTTTTATCTATTTCGAGTGACTTTTATAGTTATAACAATTTTACCTTTTAAATTTAATTTTTTTCCCTATTTTTCTTTATATTTATATAAATATATCTAACATTATAGAGGTGCATTATTGTGTTTCTGTTGGGTATTGTGGGGCTATAGATTATATTTATATTTCGTTATACAGATATTGTATATAATACTGAGATTACTGTTTTTGTCAGCCTTAAGCTACTTTAAATTAATTTTATTAGTTTGTTAAGGTCCATTTGTACTCATTTGTGGCTAAGCTTTAATCTGATATGGACCCTTTGATCAGCTTTTCAAAAAGAATAACAAACATACTAAACCTTATTAGCTCTCCTGTCTCAGCAATACCTTCATTTAAATATTTGGTGTCTGGTGTTTCATCATTGCAAATAAGATTACATTATTTAAGTTAATTTTTTATTATATTTTTACACATTTAATAAAGATTGTATTGGCTTTAGTTTATCTGCAGTGATTGCTGAATTCTTGTGCCTCTGGTTTTTGATGTCTAAAAAACACTAGTTCATTATAAATAAAATCTGAACATTTTAGACTTAAAGTTAAACAAACTGCCTGTAAGTTTTTGTCTTTCGTATCTTTTATTGTTAACAGTAAAGACCTAAATCTTCCTTTTCAATAAAGCCAGTAGAAACAGGATGAGAGCTTGCATATTAAAATTATCACTATTTCTTATTCCACCCAACATTTCAGGGAAAAACTAAAAGCAAATCAAATACTTCTAACATTAAATGTATGTTGCACTGAATAAGACAAGAAACGAAAGACTGATGCAGATTCTGAATGTTGCACATGCCTGCATTAAAACCAGCATAACGATGTATATAAATAAGAATATTTTAATATCGAGACTCATAAAGACCCAAAACAACAATAGTAATAATGGGAGGTCACTCAGTTATCTGCTTTTAATAGCTCAGATGTTTACTTTTGGCTCTGTATTTTGCCAGTTAATACAAAATATAAAAGTATTAGACATATAATATTTCAAATATTTAGTTTCTCCCTCAGACGGTCTCTCCAAAATTCCAGAACTCTAAAATGATCTACAAATCAATAGAATAAAAATGTAATGAAAAACTCCATAAATGTCAAAAAAAAAAAAACTTGACAATGTTAAACATGGACGAAAATGAACACAAACATCTAGTTTTGACTCTTATTTGAATTTTTTTTTTTTGCAAACACTGAAAAGGACTTTTCTGTTTTTGTAAGACGTTCACAATCATCAAAAAAAGCTTGAATCTAGTAACTCCGAAAACACACAAGAAAAAGAAATAATAAAGAATAAAAAATATTTCCAGATTGAAGTGGAAAATGGCAAATAAATGAGATAGAAAGCAAAGCCTGCGGTGATGTTGGGGTGTGTCTAAGGTGCTTTGATGAGGACCGGACAGACATGACACAGTTTTGTCAAAGATTTACCTTTGTAGTCTTTGTAGATTTACCCATGTAGTCTGATTACATTTAAATGATCCATTCTTTATTCCATCTTATCAAAAGCAAGTAGTGCTTCAGTGCTTTTTGCCATAAGTCACTTCTTTTTCCTGTTTTTTGCAAACCTCAGTCCTGCTCCTGGGTCATCTCTCTAATGCACTCATACAGGTTCCGCTTCCTGTCTTCAGGAGCGCTCTGGCTGATCTTATCCAGCAACTGCTCTGCCTCCGTTAGTGCTTCCACCTTTGGGTTGGTGTGTGAATACAGGAAGCCTTTGAGCAGCTCGTAGTGGCAGTATGGGGAAAGCAGGCCACACAGGTAGCGCAGGAACATATCATAGTGTCCCAGCTTGGAGCTTAGGGTCAGTGTCCAAGCGCTCTGCACAAGGCCCACAGCTGATCTGCTGGGTGAGGTGAACTTCATCCATTTACTGTCCAGGATGTTTTTGGCATCGACGTAGAATATAAGGAAGACGTACAGAGCAGCCATGAACTCCTAAAGAAGAAAAAACAGTGAGTTAGTTGCGGTCACATCGCTTCGCTTTCCTTTGAGAGGCAGCGCCACCTTATGGGAAAAGGCAGACACTACAGTTGGATTGGGAGTTAATGCAACCTAAGGGGCATGAAGTTAAAGTGTAAAGATGTGTCGAGATTAGGGCTGCAACTAACGATTATTTTAAAAATCGATGAATCGGACGATTATTTTTTCGATTAACCGATGAATCGGACAAAAAATATTTTTTATATTAACCTCTTTATTCCAAAATAAATATTTTAGACAGAACAAACAAGCACACAAGTACAGGTTGCTCATTAAATGTACTGGTGCAATATGAAAAATAAATAGTTGTGTTAAAACTACGCAAACTTACATGAGAAATGTAGCTGTACATCCACAAAATATAGGGTACTTTGTTTCATAAAGCGCAAAAAAGAGACAGGCATTTTTGTTTTTAAAAGCCCCTAAGGGGTTCAAACAATAGGTCCCCCCATTTCAACTAATTAGTTTTTTTTAGACTAGAAGAGTTCTGCCTTTTAAGACAGGAAAGTATAGCAGTTAAAGTTGCTACTTGAGAAAATACTGAACCATAGAGATAAAAATAGCCCTGTGATTCAAATTATAAATTGTATTTGGAATAAAAATGAGAGAACTAGGGGTGCTAAAAAACACATCCTCCAAAGACAGATATTTACATGGGAATGTGGCATATAATTAATTGACATATTACTGATCTTGCTGGATTTTATTCTGCTTTACTTCCATAAATTGCAGGATCTTCTTTACTTTATCTTTGCCAGAAGATTTAAACTTTAAAAGCCTTGCCCTCATAATTTGCAAGTTAATTTATTTATAAAGTAAATGTAAACGCTGCTTAAGCTAATTCAAATGAAATTAAAAGTAAAATAAGTAGCCAACCTTATCACTGTCTGTAACCTACTAACAAGGTATGGAAAGCATCAGATGAGCTACCTGAGAAACTAACGTAACGTTTCCCCACTTTAAAACCAAACAAACATGGTGGTTCCGTGCCATGTTCATTTGTTTTGACAAAAGTTGCATGTTATCACTTTTTTCGCTTTACAAAGCGCAGGCTATTGTAATTATTGTGATCAATTTGCGCCGTCAATCCCGGTGCATGCGCGCTTCATTTGCAGTCTGGACGCTGAGGCTCTGACTGCAGCGCTGAGAGGGACTCCTGCGCGGGAGTGGGGGGAGGCGCCCCACGGCAGAGTAGGAACGATACATACTTTCACGTAAGAGTCCCCAAAAGCTGCCAGTGACACCGAAAAAAGTCGCCAGATTTGTCGCTAGTCGCTTTTTTGAAAAATAGTCGCTGGAGGGGTCTGAAAAGTCGCTGAGTTGGCAACACTGCACCTGCGGCGCTGACTCGCTCTGCCGTTTTTTTTTCTTCCTCTTTCAGTCAAGAGGCAGTGATGACGGCGCGGCGGATGACGCATTAATCGCGCGACACAACTAATCGATGATGAAATTCGTTGCCAACGCTTTTAAAAGTCGATTTTTATCGATTTTATCGATTCGTTGTTGCAGCCCTAGTCGAGATATAATAGCAGAAAGGGGAACCGTGATATGACTTCTGCTGGTCGCTCATATGGATGATTTTAGATTCATAGATGTATGAAGGTCAATCTTTACCTCTCACTGTGTGTGAACATCTCATAATAGTTACAATTCATATACAATACAAAACAATAAATCAATTATTTTCATCTGCTAGACTTGAACCAGTCTGACGTGTTCAAGATTTGAAACTAGCTCAAAGTGAGCATCCTTAAGATATCCAGAGATGACCACTGCCATCCTGTTAACCACTGCAAGTTATTTAGTTCTTAAAAAGTTAATAAATATAAGATTTACCATTTAAATTCTTATCTTAAGTGTCTGACTTCACCAAGAAATCTTGTCGATTAGAATTTTCTTCCTGCAGGAAGATTATTACACTTATTCTAAGTATCTTTTATAAACAAACTTTATTGCATAGTAAAAATAATAATCATGGGCGAAACTGAAGCAATGCTGAAACCTGTGTTGAAACAGGAGAAACAATCATAGTGAAACTCCAATTTTATGAAAATACAGCTTGACCCCTGGGCTGCAGACTACGGAAGAGGATTAGGGACACTGGAAAAAAAAAAAAAAGTTAACTGCTTTTCAATTTTATTTCAGTTTAGTATGGGAATAAAGTCAGAATTCTGACTTAAATCTCAGAATTCTGACAGAATACTGACAATAAAAAAAGTCAGGATTCTGAGATTAAAGTCAGAATTCTGACTTTTTTCCCATTCTAAACATAGTAACTTTCTTTTTTCAGAGGCACTAATCCTCTTCCCTAGCAGACAGCCTCATAGGTCAGAACCTAAAGTTACTTTAGTCTTTGTCCCCCCGATGGGATTTTCTGCCTGTCATTATCCTGCACTCAATTTACATCCAAAACTCCTCAGTAAGTTTAATAACTGCTCATTAAATCCTTCAACATGGATCTTAGATGACGAATACATGACGGGTCATGGGTGGGAGTTTTCTTTGACAGGACGAGACTGGATAAAAATGTTAGCGGGTGGTCTGTCAGACGTTTAAAATGCATCACTGTGCTGTAATCTGCTAAGCAGTATCAGCCTGCTTGGTCACGCCGCCCACCTGGCGTGCAGCGGTGCACATTCTGCATGACCACAGATGGAACATGGCAGCAGCGGCAGGCGTAAGAGTAAGCTGGAAAGGTCCGGTACTGCACGCTCATCTCTGACAAACTCTACTCTTCAAGCTGTGCTTGTGCAGAAATGCATCTTTGTGCGCTTAGCTTAGAGTCTACGCTCCACACCGATGCTTCCCTCTCAGCAGTATGACTCTTCCAGCCCTCACTACTTAATTAACTATATGTGGCTGATCATCCTCTGCCAAGCGTAAAAAATCATTTTGTCTAACTATAAAGACTTTATTTCCTCCAGCTAACAAGGGGTGATAGAAAAACTTTAATTTTTAAATTATATCCAAAGAAAATATTTCATTGCATACTGTTTATTTTTGGATAAAGACCCAGATGAAAAGGTACATAGATTGCTGAATATTTCTCTTGATAATGTAAAAGTTTCCTTGTATTGTTTCCTTTGAATATTTCAACATTTTAGTTTATATATTCTTGATCTTTAGCTCCGGGTTGCCATGGCATTATAAAGGAATTTTGTAGATTCTCTGTGTATTTTGTTATATCAGACCCCTTTGAATTTAAATCTACTTTGACCCCTGAGCAGCAGTAACCAAGGGGCAAAAAAACAAGAATGTTTTTGATCTTTGCTTTTCTGGAGCAACGAAGATTTTATTGATCTGTTTGTAATGCATAATTCAGAATACATCAGGAAGTGTTTGCTTCTGGATGAAAACCTTGTATGTCTATAACCATTCCTTTATTGTACATTTTGTTAGCTTGTTTGTCTGCTATGTTACCCCTTGCTCACACTGGCTCCGGTGCGGTTACTGAGCCGACGGAGACCGCAACTCCCGCACACCCCCTCTCACACCGCCCTTTTGACTACGGTGCGGTGGGGCTCTGCGGCTCCGGCAACAGGTCCGGAGATTTAACTCGCGAGAACAGAAGTTCACTTGAGTTCACTTGAGTTCACGTAACTTCACGCGATAACACGGCCTAAATAAGGATATTTGCGAGAGCTTGTTGCGGAGGGCTCCGGCACACCGCAAGGATAGCTTTCTTGCGGAATTTTCTGCAGCGCCGGAGTGTCTCGGTAACCGCAGCCGGACAGCTCAGCAGCCGGTGAGAGAGGTTTACGTCTTTTTAATGACTTGGAATCACTGCGGCGCCGCACCCACTGCACCGCAACGGTAAGACCGGAGTCGGTGTGAGCCTGGGGTAAACCATATATGTTGAACTAGATGTGCTATTTTCACAACTTTTGTGAGACACTTTTTTATAAAGTAGGTCATTAATTTGTAAAAAAAAAAAAAGTTTGTTTGAATTCTGTTAATCAAAGTTTTCTGCCCAACAGAAATGATGAACTGCACTGCAGAGTTCTATACCCAGCAATTGTAGTATCTAGGCTAGTATCTAGGCTAAAGTTTATTTTATTTTTTATTTTTTTACTACTTGCTTTGATTCTGTTTTATTTTCCTATATTTTAATCATGTAAAGCCCTTTGCATTGTCTTTGTACTGAATTGTGCTATACAAATAAATTTGCGTGCCTTGCCTTGCCTTGCCTAGAGTGGTCAGTCTGGTAAAGAATCTAGTTTTTATTAGAAATTGTAAAGGTTAGATGTTTTAAGAATTGCAACACAAAACTGACTAAAACTAAACTTCTCGACTAAAACTGGACAAATACTATCACATATAATAATGACTAAAATATGAGTAAATCTATTAACAGTTTTTCACTAAGATGGCTGTCAAAAACAATACTGATTGGCAGACTGATTGGTTTGTCCCTTCTTTATTTTGGTAAGGAGTTAAACAGCTGCTGATTGGCAAAATATACAGACAAGACAGGGTGTTTTACCTGTAGGGTGAAGTTAGAGAAGCAGAATGTCCTTTTGGCAGAGGAGGCTTTAGGAGGGAGCTCGGTGCACAAACCAGAGAACATCACAACCTGGGTCAGATCCAGCTCCAACTCCTTCAGATCCTCCTCAAAAAACACGCTGGTGTTGGCCTGCAGCATCTTGAAGGCCAACTTTGCCAAGTTCCTCAGAAACTGCCTCTCTTTCTCGCGCCATTTCTGCATGAACACAGGCCAGAAACAGTCGATTAAAACATGTCAACACAAACAAGAAAACATTAACAGGCAGCATCTGTTAAATACCATATCAAGAGTTCTATTGTAGTAAAACTTGAGGCTGCGATTTGTCTGAATGATCAGAAAGTGGATGTGAAACGGCGTCAGTCTGGGACGTTTGGTGCCATAGTTCGGATTCCTATAGTTGTCGCCGAAAACTTTCGCCACCATCCAGGAGTAAAAAGGATTGCGAGTGAGGATCTGAATCATTGGCACTCGTTTGTAATGTCTCACAATCTTTTCTGCCAGCTGAGCGTTAGTGAAGCGTTTGGTCAGGTAGTCGTCTCTCATCGCTTCACTGGAGAAGATGGAGAAAGGTAAGGAGGAAGCCAACCAATAACAACAAGGGAAAAGGTTGCTTTTTTTTTATAAGAAAGAAGTGAAAGGGACCCACTTGAAACCCTGCAGCTCAGTTATGACATCTATATACTTAGACGGTATCTGTGACACTGCTGCACGCCTGCCCAGGATCCAGATGCGTGCACCACGGAGCAAGGTCCCTCGGATCAAGTTGACGACTAGGACATTCATATGAGCTTTGGTGTTGTTGTCAGTAATCACTGGAGCGTTCTGCAGGAAGGAACAAAACATAAATAACTTCAAATAAATATCAAAAAATCTCTAGATTTAAGACTGTATTCCGCTTTCTTAAGAGATTATTATGAGCTAAAAATCTACAAAATCTGAATTTTAAATTATGTAATGAAGAATTTTACTTCCTTGAAAATGTTTTTTTTGTTTGTGTGAATTATAAAAGATGTAACTCAGTACATTTGAATATCTGAAAAAAAGCTGATTAAAAAAAAATCATTTAAAAAGTTAAAATCACAGATATGCTTTAAACAGACTGAATTCATGTTATGAAGAAACTAGACAACTGCTGACCTGACGGCCGCCCAGCTCACCTTTACTGCTGGTACATTTGATTTTTTTATATTGGTCTTTTCTTTAATATTCTAACTTTCTGAGCACTATAGTTTAGGTTTTTTTCTATTTGCTGCAAACCATAATCACCAGAAAATGAACCCAAAAAAATTATAATCTACCACTCTGAATGACATAAAGAGAGTATGAAAAGAATTCAAATCCCTCTACATATTGCAATCGTCGTTTGATCAAAAAGTTAATTTAATTCTACAACCTATTCTGACATTAAAAAAAACAGAAATGAATCATTTTTGCTAATATATTAAAAAGAAAAGCTGAAGTATCTCCTGGTCATAAGTATTCAGACCCTTTGCTGACATTTAACTCTACTGCTGTCAGTTTCCTCTGCTCCTCCTTGAGATGGTTCTACTCTTTCATAGGAGTCAGGGTGTGTTTAACTGAACTGACTGGCCTTGATTAGGAAATGCACACACCTGTAGATATAAGACCTTGCAGATGTCAGTGCACGCCGGAGCGAATGACAATTATGAGCTAAAGGGACTTCCCAAGAAGCTCAGAGACAATGCACAGATCTGACCACGGTTATAAAAGAGTTTCTGCAGCACCCAAGGCTCCTCAGAGCACATTGGCCAGCAGAGCTTTGGTGAGGGAGACGAAGATGAACCCAAAAATCCCTGATGCTGAGCTCCATAAAAGAGACGGGAGAAAGTTCCACAAGGTCAATTATCACTGAAGTCCCTGCACCAGTGTGAGCTTTACGGCAGAGTGGCTCAACGGAAGCCTCTCCTTAGTGCAAGACATATGAAAGCCAGCATAGTTGGCCCAGAAATACTTAAAGGACTCATAAAATGTTACACATAAAAATTTCTGGTCTAATAGCATTTATTCTAAGCAATATGTGCGGAGAAAAAAAAAACACTCATCATCCGCACAATACAATCCCAGCAGTGAAACATGGTGGTGGCAGCATCATGCTATGGGGGTGTTTTTCAGCTACAGAGACATAGGAAAGATCAATACGGCCAAATAGTGTGATATCCTGGAAGAAAACCTTCCAGAAAGACCAGAGCCTCTGACTCTTATCAAGTCAATGACCCTAAGCACATGGCGGGGTTAAAGGAGTAGCTTCAGAACTACTCAGAGCCAACTATGAATGGCAGAGGATCAACATAGGTGTTAAAAGCTTTCTGCGCCATTCCCAAAGAAGACTCGTGGCTGTATTAAGGCTGATTTATACTTCAAAAATAGGTAGTCTGCATAGGTGTTGCAGTGAACAAAAAGACGTCCCCGCCCCCTCCGCAGACACTCTGTTGCACCTCTCCCAAATTGTAGGTGACTGCAGACAGTGCCGCAGACAGGAGACCGGCTTATTTTGTTTTTATGACCGCAATTGCGGAAAAAAACTCGTGATTTGAGCATAAATCAAAAATGTCTGCATCAAGATCACTGTGACACACTGCTGCGGGGAGTTTTACAAGCCCTTTGGCTCAAATGTTTCTAAAATTTCCTATTTAAATTTGCAGAATGTTCCACTTTACTGTTTTTTGTCAAGTTGGAGTGCTTGGAAATTCAGATTCAACATGGAAATTCAGATTTTAAACGAAGAGCAACATGAACTAGATATGTATCCAGATAAATGGAAAAGCTCCTGTATGTTTGAAGATGGAATACCTCCCAGTCCAGGGGCCCCATGTAGGAATCCATACAGTCCATAATGATAAGAAACCTGGCGTCTTCTTCCTCCAATAATTTATGATATTCTTTAGGATAGTGGTAATAACCCAGTACGTCAAATATGGAGTACTCCTTTCCACTATCTTCTCTGTCTCGATAAAGCCTCAGAGCACGGAATGAAAGCTTAAGGACGTACTGCAGATCCTACGGAGAAAATAACAGGAAAAAGAAGAATTTAATATACAAAAACATTTATATAACTTAAATACTATACATAGAAGAACAACAAAAATTTAGAGAAGAAACTACATCATTTGTGGTAACTTGGTGGAGTGGGGGCCTAGTGGGTAGGGCATTGCGCTTGGAATCCAGAGGTTCTGAGTTTGAGCCCCACAGACTGCCACTCTGGGTCTCTGAGCAAAGACCCTTAAACCTCACACTGAAGCAGCCCGCTGCTCCCCGAGGAGATGAGTTAAATGCAGACGGTTAATTCCGTTGCTTTGTACTTGTGACAGTGTAATGACAATAAAAGCTAAAAATAAAATAAATAATTCAAATGCTATAATAGGGATTAAAGGCAAAAGACAGATAAGCCCAGTTTGTTGCCAAGGAAATAGAAAAAGTGACGCCTACTAGTGAGGAAAAAGAAAAGCAGATTTTATTTCTTAAAATCTTCCATTAAGGTGAGCCTTATGAAGTGCAACTAATAACCAGTCAGTTGATGGATTTCCTTTGCTGTGCTTCTCTGCTGCTCCTCCAGAGTTATAATTTGCCAACTAACTACTTTGTTAAGGAAGGTGGGAAAAAAAATCCAGGAGACTTTTAGCGGTGCACTCCTAAAGTGGCCTTAGAGGAAGATTTTTGAATTGAGAAAGCTTCCTGGAGGGGAACAATCCACTGAAATCCAGTGGATTGTCTTTTAAACTTTTACGGAAAGTTAATGGTAGATCAGTGCTGAAAGAAAGCATAACATTTATTTTGCAAGAGTTGTGTCTGAGGAGCCAATGTGGAAGAAACACCATCTGGTAAGATGAAACCAAACGCTTAAGAGAGCAGAAAAACTAACTCTGCCCATCACCTTGAATGCATCACTCCAAAGATAAAACAGGGTGGAAGAGAAACACAGGATGAAAGACACTAGAACAGGGGTAACCAATTAAAAATTAACGGGGTCCGAATAAAGAAAATTATCAACCAGTAAAGGTCCAGAGACATTTTTAATTATAATCTGTTACTTTAAACAGAATTTAACACTGAAATAAAATGAGGTGTTTATGCATCCATGTTATACATTGATTTTTTCATAAAAAAAATATATTTAAAAAAATGTAAAATGTTTAAATCTAAAGTGTTTTTTTAAGTAGAGAACAACAATTGTTCAGTTTGTTATATAGACAATTTCCTGATTCACATATTTTATAAAACGCCTAAACTGCATGTTTGTTATTTATTAATTTATTTTTCTGGCTTAATGAGAGCAGTGGGCTGGATGTATATTTATTTTTCATTCTGTTCATGGTGGAGAATTCTGCTTCACAGCAGCAGGATGAACCAAACATACTCTAAATGTTCAGGCTCATCTTTGAGCACGCCATTTCACTTTACTGTCACCAGTTCACTGTAGTTCTTCCAGCAGTCCACCATTTCCTTCATTTTTTCTCATCCTCATTGTTAGGTTTATTCAGTGATGATTATAAAATTAATGTGTGCTTATAAAACATTTGTGCAAGGGAATGCTCCACTCCTGTGTCATGATTCAGTCAGGAGACCATCCTTCCTTGTCATTCTGATGGAGCATTCTGTCTTCATGAACTGATCAATTGTTCTGTCAGAACAATGCTCTGTTTGTAACTATGCGTCATGTTCTGTTAATAAACGCTCTGCGGAGGAAGTCCAGTGGGAGACATTGAGTTTGAGTCTGGGGTTCAACTGTCTCTCCTTCCTGCAGGAATTGTATCCATAAATCGTGTATTTCAGTTCTTCTTAAGCAAAAACCTACATTTTATGAACCCGACACTCTTCTCCTTCTTTCTCATCGCCCGGCTTGCCAAAGGTTTGCCTGCTGTGTCTAAAAGTAGCAGCAGCAACCCAGACTGACAGCAGCTCATTGGCTAATTTGTATCGTGTAGCCTGGTCCCGGATGCTCTGGATGGCTTTACCGTACAAATAGGAGAATCTGTGCAACTGAAATTAGACACTGCCGTCAGACAAAATGCTTTCATTTATAAATGTTTTAAATCAGGTTGGGTCCGGATAAGCCAGCAGGTGGGTCTAGATCTGGACCTTGGTCCGCTGATCCGTGACCTCTGCATTAGAGACTGGGTGTGCAGCATCACCTCACCTGTCTGAGCTTCAGCTAACGGGCCAACATTCTAGTTCATTGATGTAGAAATCTGCTAAAGAGAGGTTCTTAAAGACTTGCAGATATAACTGCAGCGGAAGGAGCTTCTACAAAGAACAGACTCAGATCGGTGAACATTAAGGGATGTGGAACTTTCTAGATTTTCAGTGCTTAAAATGATTTCCTTTCATTTTAGATTTATAAAATGTTTTATGTCGGTCAAAGGCATCATAACTCCTATTAGTTCTACCTTTATTGTGATCTACAGATGATTAATTTAGTGCTTGTGTCAGTTCTCACCCGGTTGGCACAATCATCTGCCCAGTCTAGCGAGAACTTTGCCACGGAGACGGACATCCCGACTCCTGGAATCCCCGTGGTCACCACTGTCCTCACCGGGGAGCCGTCCGCTTTCTTCAGGCGGAACAGGTCGTTTAAGGCAACAAAAGTGTCCTCAGTAGGAACCTGGACAGGTGTTGGGGGTTGAGCTAAGAACTCGTGAGTGGGGTCGACTCCTCCGAAACCACAGGTGGAAATCTGGGGCTCCACATAGACATCATTCAGGATGTTCGACTTTCCGGCTTGGACTACTCCCTCTCGGATAACTACGAATTTTCGTATATAATATTCTTTCAGGTGAAAACGAAACAGGGCTGTGGATGGAGAAAACAAAAGAGGTTATAAACTAAACAACACGTGTATCGCTTGCTCTCTTTCTGCTCTTTTTTAAGTTTAAAGCTATACTCGGGAAGACATTAGATAAATGTGGCTAATTTTAAAGATATAACGAATTTAAATGAAGAAGTCAGGCACATCCTCACCTTTATGGCCTTTAGTCATGAGTTCCCTCATCTCCTCCTCCTTCTCCATGCTCTCAAGAGTGCTAATGGCCTTTGACAGCGCTTTGTACGGACCTGAATAACACGCCAAGAATGCAGAATGAGCTGAGTGAGAACATCCACTCTATGAGTATCCCTCCTTTGTAAATAACTGCGCCTCTTTTTTTAACAACACAAGGAGGAAATTACATTAAATTAAGTTTATTTATATAGCGCCAATTCACAATTCACACGTCATCTCAAGGCACTTTACAGTTCACCAGATCATACAGTCAAATTGATTCAAAGTTTTCTATCTAAGGAAAACCAGCTGATTGCATTGACTCATGGACTCAAATGCAATCCCTCACACTAAGCATGCTTGTAGCGACAGTGGAGAGGAAAAACTCTCATGAAACATCCACTTCATTCCCAGCTCTAAGCTCCTGCTGTCCCACATCACGGCAGTGTTTCCTTACCGTAGACCTCGATGGCCTTGTCCACAAAGTCCAGAACATCTCCGTCCTTGGTTTGCTCCAGGAGGCTAATTTGGTCCCATCTGTTGTACCAAAGCTTAAACTTGAACAACTCCTGATCGTTGAGCCGTACTACAACATTTAGGATCGTCTTCAGAGAGAAAAGGAGGAAAACAAAAAATAAGGAGATTATCTGTATTTTTTTTAAGCTTAAACATGCATGTTCTAGAATTTCACTCTTCCCAAGAAAAAAAAAGCAAACGTAACAACTAAAAGGAATACATTAATTCGCACACACTTTGAAAATATGAGGCAGGTCCAGTTCTGGGTGCAGCCGTCCCGGCTGGCTGTTTTCATCAGCTTCATTCCAACCCTCCATTTCAAGAGGCTCAGGTGGTTCTGGAGAGCATGTTAACAGAACTTCATCATCATCGTCCAATTCGTCGTCAGTCAAGCTCCCTACATCCACAGAGCTGACAGAGAAATTCGGTTTTCTTTAGTTTTTTTCAGTAATATAAAAAAACACAAATCTAGATAAATAAATCAGATATGAAGCTATGGAGAACTCCACATCTGCATGAATATTAAATGTTTGTTTTACCCGGTGTCAATGACCATAGCGTCGGGTGGTTTGGTCTGCTCGGTGAAATCAGTTAAGATGGTTTCTGTATAAACGGAGTGCATCATCTGAGACCTGCAAAAACATTGATCTGATTAATTCAACCTCTATAAATTATCCAGTACCCAAAAGTTTTTAATCACCCCTCATTTATTAGTTTTTTAGAAAGGACCAATGCTTTCTTTGTAATAAAGAGACTTGATCTGTAGTTTTTCTGGGTTTCTGGAGGTCTTTCAGGTTTTATACTTAGACTTCCAGCTGCTCTCTTAATTCAATTCAGTTTATTTATGTTGCGCCAATTCAAACCACATTTCATCTCAAAACACTTTACAGAGACAATTCAACCAGATCATATAGTTCGATTGGTTAAAAGCGTCAGGGACCAGTTGTAACAGAAACAAGAGCTTGCCAAAGATTCCTGTTAACTGAATGTGTAATAACTGGCACTGAGGGGCTATTTTAGTAATACAAAAGGTTTGCTGCATATTTGCAACAATGGGTGTAAAGGTGTTAATATCTCCACTTTCCCATTTAAAAAAAGAAAGCACCAATAGTATTCAAATATAAAATCTAACAACTGCTGGTATAACTGAAAGACAGATTAGTGTGAGGGTGAAAACAGAGATTAATTAAGCAAGAAGCCCAGTTAAGACAACGGCAAACTTCTAGTTTATAACCACAGCTCTGCCACATTTACATCATCAGTAGCTGTTCAGATTCAAAATGAATGTAATTCAGGATTTATACAGGAATGAATAACTCTAACTTCATGCTTTTTAATGCTCTTTTTTAGTGCTCTTAGAAATAATTTTAATGCCACCAACAGGTACCCATCGCCAGGCTGCAGCCATGTCTTGAATTCCTCGTTTTGCAGCCACTTTTGTTGAAATTTTCATTTTTCCCCCCTTTCCCTAGCCTTTTCTGATCATACGGCTTTGCGATCAACCGGAAGCAGTTCCACACAAGTATATCGTGATATAATATGTTTGACGAAATTGTTTTTATGAAAATTTTTTTTTTTTAAAGAAAGCATTTTAAATGGCACAATAAACACAATTAATGAATTTTAATGCCAATTAAGACCTTAATTTAAAAAAAATAATAATTTAATGACATTTCATGATTTTTAATGACCCGCGGAAACCTTGTATTTACCAAATAAAATAGCGCATAAAGCATGAATATGAAAAAAATCACTCTCTCCATAGATGCTGATTATTTACAAACAAAATCAGTCTCCGTATTTCCATGAAGTATCTGTAAAACTTTGGACAAAAGCGAATTTAAATTGCAGATTGTCGCTAGTTTAATTTGGCTGACAACATTTTGCTCTAACTGACCAATCAGAGGACAGAAAATACTGACATAGAGGTGGCCACCCCGAGCTGGCCCCTTAGGGAACATCTGAAATCTGATTGGTTGAAGAGAACGTTCCTCAGTAATATTGTTGTAGTAACATCAGCTAGCACTGCTGATTCTAAAGGCCCTGGCCAGATTCCACTGACATAGCAACACACTAATCCTGAAAACTGATTGGACAACAAAATATAGCAAGCACATAAATGTAATGGAAGCAGCACCGCCAAGAGAAATTATGCAAAATTAACAGAATGGACTGTTTGGAATAAACTAAAACAGTAGGAAAGATAGAAATTAAAGTTTAGGCTGTGAATGTAGGTTAGTGTTTCTGGTTGATTTTAGTCCAGCATTGAAGGTCTTGAAGGCCCTCACAGCCAACCACTGATCAGAGGTGTAGGGACTACAAAGTAGCTTAAAGAGATAAAACATTTCTGCAATTAAGGAACAGGAAAAGCATCCCGCAACATCATGTGACGGAACCTGAGTTAATTACCCAAATTATGCCCAATTTTAAGCTAATCAACATTTAAAGCTGTAACGTGCAGCAGGAAACAAAGTATCAATAAATGCATTACTGTTGCGAGTAGATTCACTCCCTTCAACTTTTCTTTTATAATTTCTATTTTATTATTAAGCACAATTCTTATCTGCTTTTGGTGCAGATAACCAAGCAACCTTCTGTTACATCTTAAGGAATGTAATAAGTAACTTATTAAGGTTGTAAAATCAGATTTCCAACAAGGAGCGACGAGACCAATCACAGATCAGAACCAAACTAACAGGATATAGGGTTTACAGCAAATAAATATATCACTGTTTAAATGTTTTGGTATCATGTTAAGTTAAAGAACTCTTTTCTTTAGACAAACTCTTGCATTTCTTCTTTCTTCGTAATAAAAAAAGTGTATTTACGATGGTATCTAGTAGCAGGAAGGCTAACTAAGTTAGGTAAGGGTCAAATTGGGATGGTTTAACAACTGGGCAGAAGTCTTTAATCTAGCAGCTTAATTAGGGGTCAGCCCTTCCTCCAGGGATTATAATCTGACCTAATAGATCAAAGCTTTTTGTAAAAGATTAACGAAAACGAGCTTTTTCTCCTCAGTGAGGTGTTAACTTTAACTATTAATTAATTTAGCATCTGATTAACAAGAATAACAATATGAAGCTATTTATAAAATAAAGTAGTATTTGTATAAACAATAAATGCAATTGTTAATATTTATTTGAAATTTATTTTTAAAGTTAAGGAACTTAAGTTTAGTTAATTGTTCATTTAACTTTATTACTTTGTTGGTTTGATTAACAGCGGTTTGCTTAGTCCTGTTGTATAGTTTATTAATTTACATAAACTAACATACATATTAGTATTTATTTTTCTTCTTTTGGGTTGTTTAAAGGTTTTTACCCACTTCTGGACCAATTGTAAATATATCCTGACTTAAGGAGGATAAAAGGAAGAAAATTGTGTGATCCTTTGAGTAAAACCCTGTTGAAGAAAGTCTGCATCAATTTTCAAGTGGAGAAGCTGCACAAGATGGAAAAGAAGTTGACACAGAATGAAGAGGTGAAATATAATAGAACCTGAATCCAAAGCAAAGGTCAGAAAAGACTTAATATGACTCTTTGCACCAAAAATCTTAAAAGCTAAAGGATTGTTGTATCAAGTATACATTTCTGGAATATTACCCAAGAACTGGAGGTGCTGGAGGATCCGGTTGTGCAAAAACCACCGGTTCACCTCCTCCTCCTCCTTCCTCCTCTTCCTCTCCTTCCTCATCCTCCATTCCTCCTGCACTTTCATCCTCACTCTTCATTGAACCATAACTGGAGGGGGGTCTCACATACTTCTCCTCCTCTTCCACATCACTCCCTGCAGCGTGGTCGCTTTAAGAAGCACAAGAAAACATTTAGTTATTAAATATTCCTTTTTTTTTTTTACTTAATTTAGGAGAATACATTTACAAAGCACTGCAACCTTATAATACACCTTTTATTACCAGGCCAAGTTAAAGAAAATATTGTTTGACAGGAAATAATAATAACAGAGATAATTTGGGTATTTCTCAGAAATTTACACATAATATACAGATTAATGCATAAAAACGAGCGCAATTATTTGACTTGCGTAAAAGAACCACCTACGTTTCTGAGGCCATGCTTCGAGAAGTTTAAGACGAGCGAAAACGAAACTGTCTCCACCTCCTTTTTCTTAATCTACATCCAGGATTATCTAAACTGGGATTATTTCAACGCTGAGCTGCGCTAACCTGACGGGCTTCACAGAAAACACATTTCCCTGGAAAATAATAAAAACGGTTAAGAACTTGAAGCCTAGATTATTCTTAACTTCTACTTCCTGTTGCTACTCCTGAGTCATGGAGAAACAACTTCCGGATTTTAATTTTCAAAATAAAAGCCTCGAATTTTATTAGTATTTGTTAGAGGTGGGCGATACCGGGATTTTTTAATCGATCCGATACCAAGTAAATACTGGGTCAGTATCGCCGATATCGATACCGATACCGATACTTTTTACATTTAAGCTGCACTTGCCTGTTGCTTTTTTTCTATAAAGTTCTCAATCGTGGAATAAATAAGAGATTATCTAATGTTAGCTTATTTTAGCTAACAATTTTTAATGGGATAAATGTACTGGGTTTTTTCAAGGTCTTAACTACACTTTCTGAGTAATATATGATGTATAATGAAGTGCTGCAGACGATGACCACTGTTATCTACCTGGATATTCTCTGGAGGACTGAAACGCTTGGGTCAAAGATGTCTGTCTGAGGCTGGAGGCGGGTCTTTGGTCTCTCTCTCCATCCAAGTCTGAGTGAGCACTCACCCAGCAACCGGTGTAGGTACCAGATTGACTCGGGCTGCCAGATTGACTCGGGGGCCTGCGCCTTTTGATGACGTCACAATACATAATTGTTTAAACGTTTGCACAATTGCGCAAAACATTTTGATTGGTCTGGACAGCTTACTAAAGTAATTATAGCGGGGTGTAGGTTTTATTCGAAAGCGGGATTGCTGTTTGTAAACGGACAATTTTACGAAGACATTCTCCATGGTCCCTGCGCCTTCTGATGACGTCACCGAATTCGCCATGTGCCTTGCGCCTCCCGATGACGTGACATTATGGCAATGCCACTCAAACAAACTACATTGAGCCCGCGGTCTGCATTTGTAACGAGAATAAATTCAGGAGAATGAAGCTAAAGGGATACAAAAAATAAACTTGTAATATTACAAAACCAAAAATACTACGAATACAAAGTATATTCAGAGATTAAAGTCCCTCTGATACTGTTTAAGTGACTGAGAAACTGCAGATTTGCCACATTTAAGATGGCGGACGCTCTGACGCATCTCAAAAGGCGCAGGCCCCCGAGTCAATCTGGCAGCCCGAGTCAATCTGGTACCTACACCGGCAGCGCGGTTGTCTGTGTGACGTAGTGCTGAGTGGGCAGGCCAAGCTAAGCCTGCGCGCTGATTGGCTGGCGCCGCTGAGCCATGTGACTGTAGGAGAGGGGAGGGGGAGCAAAGTGCTGTTACACATATGGGGAAACTGGTGACTCCGCAGCAGTCAGCGCGCGCGAGAGAGGATAAAAAGTATCGATCTTGTTAAACGAATATTGTTCAATATAAATACCAGCGTTGGTATCGATAGTATCGATCCTGGGATCGATCTGCCCACCTCTAGTATTTGTTCTGTTTACTGTGCCAAGGAGGTTAGTTTTTTTGGCCAGTTTGTCTGTTTGTCTGTCCGTGCAATGGAAAATTCCTCTTTAGCCCACCGATTACCAGTATTATTGACCGCAAAGCAGACAGTGGTACTTTTAATTACTATGTTAATAACTGTGTATAGTTAATTAGACAGTTGGTAAAAAAAAAAAAATACATTCATATAATATGTTTCAAACTGCAATAAAGATCTTAAAAGAAAGAGTTATTTGAGTATTTTATTTTTTACAGTACGCCTTGGAATTATGGGTAATCCAGAGCGTAGATTAAAACCATAGGAGTGTTGTACTTCATATGGGGCCCACCCAGATAATGTTGCTTACGTGTCATTACCCCATTGTGTCCGTGTACCGGATAAATTTAAAAGTTATGGACGGATTTTAATTACATTTTTCTCAGAGGTTTGCCTCATGCCAAGGAGCAATCCATTATATTTTGATGATGATGATAATCCAGATCATAATCTGGATACAGGCCATTTTTTTTATGTTCTCTAACAATGTGGGATGGTATTGATGTGCTATTGAAGCCTATTTCTATCAATCTGCTCAAAAAAAAAAATTCAACTTAGCTATCTCTTAATTATGAGAAAGTATATCATTATTATGAGAAACCTATAATTATGAGGCGCTGGTGAAGATTCTCGGTCATCCAGGTCATAGTCGTTCCAAAAAAAGTTCAAAAGCAATCAACTGAACTTGGTTTCCAAGTTTGAAGACATGTTTGCTTCCCATCCAGGAAGCTTTTTCCAATTCAAAATGTCAGAAATAGCCAGTGGTGTCAAAAGTACACACATTTGTTACTTAAGTAGAAGTATAGAGACTGCAGTTTAAAAGTTGAAGTATCAACTTGGCCTCTTTACTCAAGTAAAAGTGAAAAAGTAAGTGCTCCAAAAACTACTTAAAGTATAAAAGTATAAAGTAACCTTTAAAAAAAAACAGCCAGATGCCACTAAATGAATTGAAAGCTCAATTTTTCAACTATTTAGAAAAATTCTTTGAGATAGGGCCAAGGATGAGGGAGGTCTTGTTGGTCTCCATCTCACGATACGCTCTCGCATGTGTCCGACCTTTCAGACATTTCAACATCTTTTTCTGAATCCATCTTTTTCTAAATCTGACATTTTAGCATGGCATAGACAATTCATGTTTACAGTTTAAAGAACACCTACTTGCTTCTGATGATTTCCTTTAGATAACCAATGAGTGTTTGCATTATATGACTTTTCCAATTACACTAGTTTTCACTAGATGTGGATGGAGCCAATGATCTGCATTGGATGGCGCACATGACGTGAAATAAATATTTATAAACATTAAATGGAAGCCAAGAGTAACGAGTAAAGTTTGTTTAAAAAATGTAAGGAATAGAAAGTACAGATACCTGTGTGAAAATGTAATGAGTAGAAGTCAGAAGCAAGAAGAAAAATAAGTAATGGAGTAAAGTATAGATACCTGAAAAGTGTACTTAAGGACAGTAAGAAAGTATTTGTACTTCGTTACTTGACACCTCTGGAAATAGCATTGAGTTCAAGACTTTATAGAGTGGACTACAAACAAAGCCTTGTTTTGGTTTACAAAACATGCAAATTTAATCGGACGAACGGGTCCTCCCTTTAGGAATGGGGTCGTTTGGGTTCTTTATTAGCCTGCAATACCCAATACTGGTCTGTCTCTGAAGGGGGGTTGTTAGGGAGAATTGTTGGCCGGGCTGAACAGGCGAGGTGTTCTGTTCCGCTGTGAGGAGGTGGGGGTTTGCTACGATAGCGGGAAGGAATCAAATCTATTGCTGGAATGAAGGTTTTTGAAAGCTGAAATCTGTGTCCATCTCCAAACCAACCTCTGTTTAAGGTTGGTTTGGAGGACTCAGACAAACATCTGCCCATTCCTAAGTGGCAGACCCGTTCTTACGATTCAATTTGCATGTTTATTAAGCCAAAAAAGGTTGGGTTTTTGGTCCACTCTATAAAGCCTCAAACATAATGCTAATTCTGACATTTTGAATTGAAAAAGCTTCCTGGATGGGAAGCGCAACATCTCTAAACTTGGAAACAAAATCCAGTGGATATTTTTTTTTTACTTTTTGGAACAATTATGAGATATTATTTTGGGATATCTAAGTCATAATTATGAGATAGCTTAGTTTTTTTTTTTCCCATCAGAGTGGCAGAAATGGGCTTCCATAACCATTATTACGCTTTGAAGTCTTTTTTCAATTCTCTGAAGTTTATTGAGTAGGCCTATTTCAATTCCACATATTTTGCAAGCCTTTCTAGGAGCCATAAATGAATGAAGATGCTTTGATGTTCTTTTGTCTGGGTTTAAAGCTTTTTGACAAGATACTTTTATGAATATATATATATTTATGAATAAAGTTCACATCAGCACCATATCAATCTCACCAGATTTCTTTTTTCAATGAGCGCGTCAGACAAGGAACGGCCCGACCTCAGCCTAATATTGGCATTTTGTTTGTTTCCTGAAGTTGCTGCAATAGTCTTAATTAACTAACCAATATCATATATGAAAATAGACAGACACTAGTTATGATGCAACCGTGCATGTTTTGGGATTTTTAGTTATTTATCTTTTACCTAAATGTTTTTTTATAGGCTGTAATAATAAACCTGGGGATTGGTTCAGACAGAATCCAGATTTAATCTTTGAAGAGCAAAATAATAAAATAAAATATTTTTTTACCAGGGAACACTTGAATTAAAATATATATTAATATATTATATAGATTAAAAAATATTTTTAAAAACATGAACAAAAAACATTAACTTTTGTATGCAATTGTGGATTGAGTGGTTTTCAAGAAATGGCTTGCTTCTACCCTAAATCCATCAAAAAATATCATTTTAATCAGCTTTATCTTTATTTCATTTTCCTTTTTTTGTGGTTTATAAATGTCTTTAATATAATTTATCTTTGCACATAAACCAGCAGCTGATTCTGATTATTCAAATAGGCTGTATGTCATTCCCAATTCTCTGCCAGGAACCCTTTGGTGAAGAAAAAAAATATTTGATCAGCTTCATATATTAAATAACGAAGTTATTTCATTATCTTCTTCTCAGCAACACCCTTCTAGAGCTCAGCAGTTAATTTCAAGCCACCCTAAATTTGCAACAGCTCTTATTTTGAAGGCTGGTATTCTATACAGGAAGAACCCTGAAAAGCTGAATCCATTTGAAAACCTAATTTAAAAAAAACATACTTTAAGTGTTTTACAAATTCATTTTGTTTCTTGACGGCATTGAAGGGATAATAAAATAGTTTAAGCCTCTAAACATAGGTTAATAAAATTTAGCCCAAGTGCAGAGATCTGGTGCTAAAATATTGGACTCCTAGATTATCTGGGTGTTCATATTGACAGTTAACTGGATTGGAGTCACAGCAGGAAAACTCAGAGCTTCTGTTGATCTTTTGGAGTGCAGCAGGTTCTACAGAAGACCTTTTTCACTGATCCTCTTGTTGCAGCTGAAGAGGTTAGGCAAAGCTACCAGGAAGGTCAGCTCAGCTCTGTCCTAATATGATCCAATGACCAACTGTCCTTGGACAGTTGAAAAATAATGCAAATCTCATGTATGAACCTGTTTGCAGAACAAGAACTACAATTATGTTAATTTTATACCCATTATGGCACAAAACTAAATGTTTGAAACCCACATTATCGTAGTTTTTCCAAACTTAAATGATCATTTCACTTCTTAAGCTCAATCAGGAGCACTTTTTGTGGATTTTTAGTCACTGTATTTTTACCTAAGAATTTAATTTTGGTAATTGCGTGCATTTGCTTTGTTTTAAAGTCTGTTTAAATTTTCATTGAGATCTTTTAGTCTCAAACTTTTTTGTTAGTTTATCCATGCTTGCATCTGGGTGCATCCATTTCCTTTTTTTTGCTTTGCCACTTAAACACCGGAATTACCCCTTTCCGAGACAATAAACGATATTTCTATACATTTTCCATCTTCACCAACTAAAATGATTTAGTGCAATTCCATCACATAAAAAAAGATTAATACATTTAAAAAATAAGGTTGGGATGATACAAAATAGATTAATGCACATTAGTTCCTCACCCTGTTACCACACGTTTAAATAAATGCGTTTAATAGTCTTGTCTCTTCTACCTTTATTCTGTTAGAAGGCTAAACTGTTTCTAAAATACTGACCGAAGTGGCAGTTATAGTTGTAAATCTGAAACCTGAACTCGATATCCATCTCTGGTTTAATGAGCAAACAGAAACATTTATTGCTCCATTTTATTTAGAACATATGTAAATATTGTACAGACATATGTACAGAATTTAAAGGGTAAATAAAATTTAAAAAAATCAGAGGGCACAATTAAAAAAAATTTTTATCAGGTCAACTTTTCACTCTAAACACCTCCCTGGAAACCAGCCCTTAAACCTTCATCCGTCTCAGAGCCTGTGTGGAGAGAAAAAAGAAAAACAAAGCTTCAGTTTGTAGTTTATATAAGATATTCTTTTCAATGAATTGAACAGATAAAACAGAATCCTACAGGGTTTCTGCAAGTTCCAGACATACTTTAATTATTTCTAGGATTTATTTAATGCAAAAGAAACACCCTAGTGAGTATTGAGAATATTCTTGAGGCTAATACAAACAAGATAAATTAACTTTTTGTAATTGCAGTTTTTGTTTTAGAAAATGTGATTTTGGTCCTTTTAAACGTCTTTGATACCAAATTTTGAGAGTTACTGTAAAAAAACAGTCTTAGGTCTAAGCCAATAACAGAAAAACTGTTGAAAACACCTTTTTAAGCCAAAGTCTCATTAGCAACACCTCTATCATTAACAATACCGTTAGGAACTGTTAGTGGGTAGATTTTTATTGCTTAAACCTACACTAAATCCTTTTCAGAGATACTGTTGAAGTTTTGCAAGGAAAGCTTCATGTCAGGATGATGTTCAAATGTTAAAGGAAAATTCCGGTTTTTAACACTTTTAGCCCCTTTTCTGTAGTGTCCAGGATGAAATCGAATGATCGACACCAAAATTTTGACGATTGGTCCTGTCTCTGCTATTTGGCTCATGCAGAATCCCCCCCTGGCTGCTTCAGAATGGCTTTCATAGTGCATGTCCGATAATGTCCTTAAAACAACCTTAAACGTTCTTTTTTTATAATATGCTACTCACCGAGTCATCAACGCCGTTCAAAAACAAGTTTCGTAAAGAAAAAACGTTCCTGTAGTGTTTTATTTAGCATTTTGTAAATCCCATTGAGTTCTGTTGGAATAGTCAATATCCCTCCGCCACCGGAAACGGAAAGGGGGCCTGTTTACGCTTAGTTGTAGTCTTTTCGCAAGGCCCAAGTGTTTCTGCTTCACTCTGTGTACTCCGACGTCGAGGTGCTAACGTCTCTGTTAAACACTTTAAAAAACTCTGAAAATGGAATACGAAAGGTGGATTCTCGAGGAGGACATATTGGACTTTGAGTTTGACAGTACAAACATTGTCGCCAACTAGTGGCCTGGAGTGTGCAACGCTTCAGATTCGAACGGGAAGCGGAAGTTTATAAGCGGTTGTGATGTATCGGAAAAAATAGTTCTGGGATTTACAAAATGCAAAATAAAACAAGACAGGAACGGTTTTTCTTTACGAAACTTTTTTTGGAACGTCATTGAACAGCGCTGACGACCCGGTGAGTAGCATATTTTAAAAAAAGAACATTTAAGGTTGTTTTAAGGACATTATCGGACATGCACTATGGAAGCCATTCTGAAGCAGCCAGGGGGGGATTCTGCATGAGCCAAATAGCAGAGACAGGACCAATTGTCAAAATTTTGGTGTCGATCATTCGATTTCATCCTGGACACTACAGAAAAGGGGCTAAAAGTGTTAAAAACCGGAATTTTCCTTTAAATTTCTATATAAATTAAGTGTAAGGCATATGTAAGACTGAAGTTTATCATCAATTCAAGATTTAAACCTTGTAGAATCCTTGTTAGAGCAACCGAAACAAACGTGCAGACCCTCTTATTCCCCTTTAGGTTGGAACACCATCTGTTACACCTGGATGTGAGAACCACCCATAAGAAAAACTAAAAAATAAAGTTAAACCTTCTTGGACGTCAGACAACTTGGTCTTCTTTTGATTTAACACTTGCTTCTGGAAAAAAAAAAAAGTTTCACGACTAAAATTACTGCAACCTAATAACAATGTTTGACTTTAATGTGGTAAATTGTTTGAGAAAGTGCTGTACAAAATCAAGTCAGAACCTCATTGCAGCAAAACTCAGAGTACAACACAGTTGTGCAGAAATGTTTTTTTTTCTTCCTTTAGAAAGCAGCACCAGTTCAAAATATATGGAAACTCTTATGATGTATGAAACTCTTAAACCTGTTCAACCAGATGGAGATCTTGTTACAGGTTTTGCTGCAGCAAGTAGGACTTTTTCCAGAAATTTGTACAAGTATTGGCTTGATGTGGTTCATCTGTGAGTCTCAAAATGATTCAGCCCCTTCATTATTCATATTATCCACACATTTTGTGTAATAAATCAAGAGGAAGTTTGGATGCATAATATGTATTTAAATAGAATCCTTTACATACACACACACACACCTACATATCTATATATACACAGGCCAGTGACTTTAAATGTTAATAAAGTGGATCATTAGGAGAATAGTCTAAAGTTTAAAGAAGAGAAGCTTCCCTGCAAACCTAAGGAAATTATAAAACAAGATAGATCCTGAATAATCCAAGAGGAGAAACAGCTCACAGGTTAAAACAGCAAAAACGCCACCTGGTGGAAGGAAAACAGTAGAAGCAGTAACATAACATGGAATACAACTACAGACCAACACAGGAAAATAAAGCTTGAATATTCTTTAAAACTTTGTAAATAAGCCAAACAGATTTTGGGATTTGGTTCTAAAAGATGTAGAGAAAAGATCATGTCTCCTGTTGGCTTAGGAAAGAAAAAAAAAGTATGCAACGAAACACTGCACCCTGCAACAGCTTTAGGAGCCATGTTTAAAAGGGTTTGGGAGTTGTTGGTCCCCTCCCATTCAGAAAAAAAGCGAGAAGTGGGTTGCTGTCATGTTACAATAAAGCTTGTGAGCTTTGGCCAGTGATACTTCATCATTACTCTAATGTAGGTCACACCTATATTGAATTATATAAAACTGAGTTTGACACTCGTAGCATTTATAGATCGCTGCTGCTTTTATTCATTTTGTTTGTGTGTGTTTACCTTCCGAGCACTAGCGGTCAGTCCAGGAGACTTTGCAGACCTGCTGGTGGCTTGAGATCCCCTCTGCCCTTTGGCCACAGCCTGTGGTGACTTAAAGGTTCCGGCTTTGGTAGATCGTCCCGTTGTGGCACGAGAATTCACTGCAGGAGAGTTTTCGTCCGCCTTCCGAAGATTTTTCCCCAAAGGCGTTTTTTGGCCTTTTCCTGGGGATTTCCTGGTAGAATTGCGGAGTTTGTTCAGCCCTTTCTTTAAGTAGCTGTTGCTCTTTGGGGTGTTGTCAATGGTGAACATCATAGATTGACGACGTTCCGCCTGGATTTAATTTAAAGAAAACGGTTAGATCTCCCTACAACAATAAGAAATACTTTGGTTTTTCAGTCAAGTAATGAACTGTAGGTGTTACCACACGTGTTGTACTCACAGGACTGAGGACAGGTTGGAGATAAGTGCTGGATGATCCACTGCTCGTGTTCTTGTTCTTCGGAGTGAGTGGACGAGGGAAGCAGCTGGCTCTGACCCTTTTCTGCAAATTTAAATAAAGACCAACATAATAAATGTGAATGAAGGAAGCAATACATTTTATATTCCAGTTTAAATCAGTTCAACTCACTTAAATTTGAGGAGTTAAGATTAAAAGCTTCAAAACATGATCAGATAAACATGTTCTGAGTAATGCATAGACCCTTTAGCCATAGATCAGAAAGATTTTCACATAATCGCTTCTGATCCTTCACATATTTTAAGACTAGCAGGTCTGGAACAATATTAAACTTTGATTGTAAAAACGCTTTCAGTTTGTATTCATCAACCCCAAGTTCTTTTGTCTCTGACTAATAATAAAGAGTGATTTTTCTACTTTTTGGCATCTTGTCTGACTTAGTAGATCTGAAAAACTCGATCATCATGTAATAAAGAAAAGAAACAAGCAAAACAACCTCAGGTGAGGTCTGGTGGACAGACAAGGTGGACGTGGACTGCTTGGAGCTCTTTGGGCCTTTCAGCTGAGAGGAGGAGGATTGTCTTGCAGGCAGCTGCCCTGGCATCAAGGACAGGCGACGCGAACCAGAACCAACGCCTGTCTGCCCCACCATGAGGGAGTGGCGATGGGAGACAAGGGAGTCCTGCAGTTGGCCCGGCATCATGGACGCCCTTCTGATTGTTTCTGAGGGGTCACCAGTCCGGAGCTCTTCATCGGTGAAAATTAGAGCAGTGTTCTGGCCAGTCTAGAAATAAATAAAGGGGAATCATTAGACAACTAATTGCTACAGATCTGATTTACTTTCAAATGTGTTTCCTCCCGACCTCTGACTCTACAGGGTAGCTGCTCTTTAGATGTGGGAGGCAGGCCCTGTTCCTGGCCTGCAGCTCTGCGATCCTCAGCCAATCCTCAGGCCCACCATCAGGCTCATTCTCTGCTCCAACGCAGAGTGCACTGGTAGCTGAAATCTGGCCTATGATGCATCGTAAAGAAAGCCATTTAAAAACATCATCTAATTAAACTATTAAAGAAAGTTTTAAACCAAAGATATCAGCTCACTGTGTGATTGGATAGTGCTCCGTCTGTAGCCTGGAAGACCAATAAGCTGATCACTGGCAGTATTGGTCTTGCTGGTCTGTGTATCCAACATAGGTTGGGTACTGTGAGCACGGGCGAGGTTTGGGTGTGAGTGAGCTGAATGTAAACTGTAAAAGGTCTCATCAGCCTCATCGATTCCTGGTGTTTTCTAGAAATGTAAAAAAATAAATAAGTAAATAAAAACCAGAGCAGAAATATTAGTGTTTAAACTGTGTGGGGTCAAAGATGTTTCTCTACCTTGGACAGGGTGATGTTTATGACCTGCGTGGTTCTGCGCCGTTTGACAGAGGAAGTTGGATTTTTGAAGGTTGAATTCAGCTCACTATCAGAATCATCGCTGGTTCTAAGGACAACAAACAATCAATTTAGCTATCATTTCCTTCCTGCATCCATTTCAGGATGGGAACGAAAACAAGAAGCGTTGAATCAGTAGAGTCACCAAAGCCTCTATAGGCCTCGGAAAAGATCAGGTATCTGGGGTAAGTTCCAGGTACTACGATCTAAACGAACACTGCTTTTAAAAGGAAGAGTTAAATTAAGAGTAGATATGCAATCATGGTATTCTGTACATATCTTTGGGAACAGAAGTTGTCTAAATTATAAAGATGGCTGATGCAATTTAAGACTTTTTTAATGGGTAGCATTAAAAAGACTCCAAGCTCCACCTTTTTACTAACAATTTTAGTATCACAGTAAATGTGACTAAAACAGACTGATTTGGGAAAAAATAAAAGAATATTGTTTGGAATAGACCAAAAACATTTTCTGACCAAAATTGAAAACATTCAACCAACATCAGGGAACTGTACACATTTGTTTTATTACTGAAAATGTCTGGGACCCTTTTTCTAACCTAACAGTAATTTGATCTTTCTCACTTTGTTTCACTTAAAGAATGCTCCTTTTTTTTATTGTGTTTAGAAATCAATAAACATTTCATTATTAAGTTTCATTCCTTAACTGGAAATTTGTTTTCCCCCCCATTCAAGTGTGAGTAGTGTCCTGCATTCTGTAAAAATACCAAAATTCTCCCAGAAACTCATTAGGAATATAAACCTATGCACTAAAATGACTGTTGAAGCATGAAATGTACCTTTTCGTCCTTCTGACGTTAATGGGAGTAAAGTAGAGCGTTTCCAGGGACTCTGTTTGAAGGCCCCGCCGTTTGGCTGCTAGACGCTCAGAGCTTCGAACTAGCGGCGTGCTCGATTCATCAGGTGCAGACAGTTTCCTGTAAAAGGTAAAGATAAACAGCAGAGGCAATCAGGGATCAGCTACGCAAACAGTAGGAGCAGGTGCAGTGTTTGTATATTTCTAACTAAAGTATTTGTCAGTTTTAAAAAAAAATGCACCATCTTTTACAATTACAATAAATTTGAAATTAACTTATCATACGGAATTTCTATTACTACATTATAAGCCTCTCATGACTACAGTTTATTTCTTTTATGTTGTTTTTACATTGAGAGGGGGTTCATTATAAAGCATTGCTGCAATTCTTGAACAGCAGTCTGCTCTAATTATTTGCAATTTCCATAAAATTAAATAAAGTAATTTTTTATCATCATCATCTGAGCTGACTTAGTCACCTTTATTTTCAAAGCTAAGAACCCATAGACCCGTTAAATAAGATATGAAGCCTCTTAAACTGAATGGTATTCTTCCAAGCACAGCTGGTCACTTGTATTGTTGTAAAAGTTGTAACAAATAACAATTTCAGTGCCTTTTTTTTATTTTAGATGCAATTCAAGAACCACATGTGCAGTTAAATGCTAAATGCTGTCTATTGATATCAAATCTATAAATAAAGATTTGATTTTGCAAGTCTAAGAATAAAATAAATTGAAACCATTGCTTTTTTCAGTATAAAGACACTATTCTTGGTTAAATTGTTTTTACAGTATCAACCCCCAACGCCAATCAGTCATAATTCAGACCTTACCTTGTAGTGTTAAGAGAGTCCTCCAGTGAGCTCTGGTCCAGACTGTCAGAGCTCATAGACCTCCTCAGCTGTGCTCTAGTGCTAACACCAGAGTGCTTCCTGGAAACCTCTGGATAAGCAGACTCTGTTGCCAATCCTCCATTACCATGTATCTTATTCTGTGATCTGAGGACTTGATCAGCATAGGCCAGCTAAAGAGGTTGATGATGAGAGTTAGAAAATCAGTAAACTGAACGTGTTAACATTTCTGTATTATACCTAAATCTCCAGTACAAACCTGTGCCTCTAAACTGGACACTTGTGCCTTGAGTTTCTTCTCATTGGTCTGGACTTTCTCCAGGTCAAGTTGGAGTATATTATTTTTGGAAACAACAGCCTTGAATTCCTTGTCTTTAATCTCTAAAGCCTGTTTGAGTTCCATGTTTTCCTCTTCGCTTTTCTGGAGAAGTTGCTTCTTGCTGTTGTAATGGCTCATAGCTTTCTGCATCTGGAAATTTGAGACGATGAAATTGACACATTGGTGAGAAACATCTGAAACCAAACCAAGCTACAACCCAAAAACTCAGATGCATTGACTTTATCATTTTAGTCACTACACCAACCTCAGCCTTGTAGTGTTCAACAGCCTCCTCTTTGGCTGCAAGTCGTTTCTCCAGCTCTTCGTTGATGAGCTCCAATCCTTCAGCCTTGTCTTTCCGCTTCAAAAGTTGATCATTCTCCAGTTTCATATTCTCAAGCTCTTTTTGCATCACAGCCTTCAATTTATGAGAGGTAGCATTCTCTCTCTCCAAGGCCTGATTGGCTTGAAAAAGCCTGTCTTTCTCAAAGCTTATGGCTATAAGCTTATCCTTGAGAACTCTCTGGTCCGCCTCTGCTTGGACCATCTTGAGCGAGAGCATTTCCTTCTCTTGAAAAAGAACCTCCTTTTCCTTCAGGGTGGTCAACTGCATGTCCTGCATGGTGTCTCTTGTTTTAAGGCTTGCAGCTAGAGCCTCTTTTTCCTTGATCAGCTCTTGATGTAACAAATTCAACTTCTCTGCATTTTCAGTCTTCAGCAGCTCCATCTGTTCTTCCTTGGACTGGATCTCACTTCTCATCTTCCGAATTTGTTCATCAGAAGAGCGCAGTTGCTCCTGGAGATGCTCCTTCTGACAATTACTGTCCTGGTCCTGCTTATTTAGCTTCTGGGTCTGCCTCTGAAGTGCTTCTTCTGTGGTTTTCATTTGTTTGGCCATATCATCAAGCTGTTTTTGCAACCCTTTTATTTCACTGTGTAAAATATCTGACTGTGTGGATCCCTCTTCTTTAAGAAGGACAATTTGTACCTCTTTAGCCTTGATCTCCTCCCTCAGTCTTCTTGTTTCTTCTTCAGAGGTCGCCCTCATGCTTTCAAGTGAATCTTTCTGCTGAGATATTTCCACTTCCTTCTGAGCAAGCAGGTTTTCTTTAGCCAATACTTGATCTGTTGCAGACTTTAGAGATTCATTTAGACATTGGACTTGACTCTTCAGAGATTGCATCTCATTATATAAGGCCTCTGACTCCTTGCAGTGATTAGCTTTCAATGCTTGGACTTCATCTTCTTTAGATTTGATGTCTTGCTTCAACTGATTCAGATCCTCCTCAAGAACTGCTCTGTGGTTTCTTAATTCTTCGACCTGCAAAATATTTTCTTGTTCTTTCTTGGTCAAGAGATCTTCTTTGGTTTTAAGCTGGTTCTCAGCAATTTCCAGAGAATTAGAAATGCTTTTTATCTGGTCCTTTAGTGATTCAACCTCTTGCTGCAGGAACTTCGAGTTTGTAGAGGTCTCCGTCTGTATTTGAACCATCTGCTCCTGTTTAGATTGGATTTCTTCTTTTAACTTCTTAACTTCATCTTGAGATGCAACCACCTGCATCTGTATGGCCTCCATTTGCTTATTGCTCTGTTGCTGCTGTTCTGCAAACTGATTTTCCTTGGATTTTAAGGTGTCCTCCGCTGCCTTCAGTGATGATCTAAGAAATTCAGCCTGAGACTTTAAATCATTCATCTCTTGTTGTAAAACAATGACCTGCTCAGAACGTTGATTTTCTAAGAGACCCATTTGTTCATCTTTGGCTTGTATTTCTTCCCTGTGTTTCTGTTTCTCCTCCTCAGAGGTCACCCTCATGTTTTCTAGCAAATCTTTTTGCTGAGATATTTCCACTTCCTTCTGAGCCAGCAGGTTTTCTTTAGCCAATACTTGATCTGTTGCAGACTTTAGAGATTCGCTCAGACATTGGACTTGACTCTTCAGAGTTTGCATCTCATCAGACAGGGTCTCAGACTCCTTGCAGTGATCAGTTTTCAATGTTTGGACTTCATCCTCTTTAGATCTTATGTCCTGCTCGAGTTGACTAACCTGGCACTCAAGAACTGCTCTGTGTTTTCTTAACTCTTCAATTTGCAAAGCATTTTCCTGTTCTTGTTTTGCCAAGAGATCTTCTTTGGTTTTTACTTGGTTCTCAGCAATCTCCAAAGAATGAGTGATGCTTTTTATCTGCCCATTTAGAGATTCAATCTCCTGCTGCCATAACACTGATTTTGTAGACGTCTCAGCCTTCAGCTGAACAATCTGCTCCTCTTTAGCATCAATCTCTGCTTTTAGCTTCTTAATCTCATCTAGAGATGCAACCATCTGAATCTGGATGTCCTCCATATTCTGAGTGCTCTGTTGTTGCTTCTCCATTAACTCATTTTCTTTGAACCGTAACTTCTCCTCAGCCTCCCTCAGAGAAGAGCCAAGACATTCAACCTGGGATTTTAAGTCATTCATCTCATCATTATTGCTATTAAGCATTTCCTCTTTAGCCTTTATCTCCTCCCTCAGTCTTCTTGCTTCTTCTTCAGAGGTTGTCCTCATGCTTTCTAGCGAATCTTTTTGCTGAGATATTTCTATTTCCTTCTGAGCCAGCAGGTTTTCTTTAGCCAATACTTGATCTGTTGCAGACTTTAGGGATTCACTCAGGCATTGGACTTGACTCTTAAGAGTTTGCATCTCATCAGACAGGGCCTCTGACTCCTTGCAGTGATCAGTTTTCAATGTCTGAACTTCATCCTCTTTAGATTTGATGTCCTGCTCGAGTTGACTAACCTGGCACTCAAGAACCTCTCTGTGTTTTCTTAATTCTTCAATTTGCAAAGCCTTTTCCTGTTCTTGTTTGGCCAAGAGCTCCTCTTTGGTTTTAACTTGGTTCTCAGCCATCTCCAAAGATTGACTGATGCTTTTTATCTGGTCATTAAGAGATTCAATCTCCTGCTGCCATAACTCTGATTTTGAAGATGATTCAGCCTTTAGCTGAACAATCTGCTCCTCTTTAGCATCAATCTCTGCTTTTAGCTTCTTAATCTCATCTAGAGATGCAACCATCTGAATCTGAATGGCCTCCATATTCTGAGTGCTCTGTTGTTGCTTCTCCATTAACTCGTTTTGTTTGAACCGTAACTTCTCCTCAGCCTCCCTCAGAGAAGAGCCAAGACGTTCAACCTGGGATTTTAAGTCATTCATCTCATCATTATTCTTACTAAGCATTTCCTCTTTAACCTTTATCTCCTCCCTCAGTCTTCTTGCTTCTTCTTCAGAGGTTGCCCTCATGCTTTCTAGCGAATCTTTTTGCTGAGATATTTCTACTTCCTTCTGAGCCAGCAGGTTTTCTTTAGCCAATACTTGATCTGTTGCAGACTTTAGGGATTCGCTCAGACATTGGACTTGACTCTTCAGAGTTTGCATCTCATCAGACAGGGCCTCTGACTCCTTGCAGTGATCAGTTTTCAATGCCTGGACTTCATCCTCTTTAGATTTGATGTCCTGCTCGAGTTGACTAACCTGGCACTCAAGAACCTCTCTGTGTTTTCTTAATTCTTCAATTTGCAAAGCCTTTTCCTGTTCTTGTTTAGCCAAGAGATCTTCTTTAGTTTTTACTTGGTTCTCAGCAATCTCCAAAGAATGAGTGATGCTTTTTATCTGCCCAATGAGAGATTCAATCTCCTGCTGCCATAACTCTGATTTTGTGGATGTCTCAGTCTTTAGCTGAACCATCTGCTCCTCTTTAGTGTTAAGCTCTGCTTGTAACTCCTTTACCTTATCTTGTGATGCGACCATCTGCATCTGAATGGCCTCCATGTGCCGGGTGCTTTGTTGCTGTTGTTCTTCAAACTGATTTTCCTTCAGTTTTAAGGTGTCTTCTGATGCCGAAAGCGATGATCTAAGACACTCAACCTGAGATTTCAGTTCTTTTATCTCTTGGTGCAAACTGTCCGCTTGTTCTGAATTCTTATCTTCCAGTAACTGGATCTGATCTTCCTTAGCCTGGATTGACTGCTTCAAGCCCTTTACCTCCTCTACTGAAGCAAACAGTTGTTCTTGCAAAACTTCTTTTTGAGAACAGCTTTCTTGCTGGAGCTTTGTCAGCTCATCCTGCTGGGTCAGAACCTGTTGCTCAGCTTTTCTCAGTGCATCATTAAGACTTTCTATTTCAGCTTTTAGCAGGTTGATCTCATTCTGAAGAGATTCTGAATGTTGTGTGCTGTCAGTCTTGACTTTTATCAGCAGCTCAGTTTTCTCCAAAATCTCTACTTTCAGCCTCTGCACCTCCTCCTGGCAGCCTACAATCTGCTGCTGAAGTACAATCCTTTCTTCAGTGTTCTCTTGCTGAGTTTTAGCCAGTAGGTCCTTCTTAAGTTGAATTTCCTGCTCAGCCTGCTTCAGAGATGTGCTAAGGTCCTGTGTACAAACTGTTAAGGTTTGAATTTTATGATGAAGACTTTCCTCTTCATTTAATTTCTCCTTTAGTAACTTATCAAGTGCATCTTGTTTTAACTGAATTTCATCTCTTCTTGATTTACTCTCCTCTGCAAGTGAGTGAACTTCATTGTTTAGGCTGCAAATTTGTTGGTCTTTATTAGCCAGCAGAGTGGTAGCAGCCACTAGTTTCGTCTCAAGGTCCTTTACTTTCACATCTGTCTGATGTAAAAGATTTTCGTTTTCTTTCTTTTTCTCCTTTAGTGTTAGAATTTCCTGCTCACAAGCAGTGATGTGTTGTTGTAGTTTGGCAACCTGTTCAGTTTTCTGGTGCTCAGCATCTTCCTGCTGAAGTTTAAGATCATTGATTTCCTTTTCAAGAACCAGCCTCTGTTCATCCAGATCTCTACGCAGTTTATCCATAATTTCATCTTTGGCTCGAATAATTTGTTCCATTTGGGTTTTCTGCTGTTGAAGTAGTTCTTTGTAGTGGGTTAATTCTTCCTCACATTTGTTCAACTTTTGAGTTAAGCTTTGTATCTGCTCTTCCGCTTGTTTTAGGGAGCACAGTGTGCTCTCAAGCTCATTCTTCAGACTGTTAATTTCAGTCTCCAACTTATCTGTCTGGAGATTTAAGAAGAGACATCTTATTAACATTTTTATCATGAGACCAAACTTTCAGAAATCAAACTCTCTATAGCCATATGATGATCTGATTAAAAGGTAAAGGATAGCATTTTTCCAAGGTCTGTCTAAACTTTTCACGTCTCTGCATTTTCATTATTTTAAAAATAAACATTCATTATAAATCTATGAATCAGTGAATAATCTTAAAATCTGACAGCTGGAAAAAAACCCCAGAAAGGATGCATACATTGGCACAAAAAAGTTGGGAATGAGAAAGAAAAAAAAGAAAAGCACAGGAGGAAAGAACAAAGAAAATGAGGGAGGATGAAAGTAAAGAGGACACTGAAAAAACAGGGAGGAAAAACAAAGATGGGGAAGAGGAAGTATGTAGGGACACATTGATCAATAAAGAGGAAAAAGTAAAGATGGACAAAAGGTAGAATTGATTGAAAGAAAGACATTTGGATCTGGAAAATGAAAAAGAAACCCCGCTTACCTCAATTATTGGACCCATATTTTCTCCAACTTCTTCTTTTTTCGCTCTACTTAGTTCTTCCTCTAAACAGGAAATTTTTCCTTGAAGGATCTGAATTTGTTCTGACAGGAATTCCTGAAGAAAGAGGAACCAGAATTAAAAATATGAACCTTAAAACTACACCAGTTCTGGACAAACAACGACGAGAAACGACACGTCACCTTTTGTGTGGTGGCTTGGTTGAGTTCTGATTGCAGGTGGCTTGTTTTGTTTCTCCAGTCCTCCTCAGCATATGCTTGAGCCTGAGTCAGTCTAGCATTTTCAGCCTCAAAGATGGCCAGCTTGGAACAAACCGCTCTCATCTAATAATATTTAAATAACGCATTTAAAATAAGGTGTGCAACAAAAAACCCAATTTGATCTTCAAATGTCAAAAAAGCTAAATAAGAAACCAAACTAAGTTTACTGATTGTTACTAACTATGCAACCATATTTACGATTAAACCAACCTGCAAGTAACGTATATCGTGTTAATGAGAAGAAATTAGAGCCTTCTCAAAATATTACCTGAAAGGAGAGTTCCCCATTTTCTCCTGTAAGTTCGTCCACCTTGCGCTCCATATGACCAGAGGTACTCTTCAAGTCCTTGTTCTGCTTTAGCAGCTCATTAAAGCTCATTTGCAGACTACAAAAAACAAATCACAAATTGTTTTTTTCCCCTTTACCTTTACACTATTTACAGAAGTTTTTTTCCCCTCTTGGATGTTTTATTTAACATAGTAAGACATGTGATCCCTTTTGAATACTTACGAGTCCTTTTTGGCCTCAATCTCACTCAGTCGTTCTGCGATAGTCTGCTCCTGATTGGCTTGCTCTTCTTTTAGCTTATCTAGATGGTACTGCAACTGATTGTTGTGGGATTCTGAGAAAAAATGAATGAATTAATGTGCAGAGTAAAGGTGGTCAAAGTTGCTGAAAACATTGTGCAATAAACTATTTGTGCTACCTTTCTGGGCAAGGAGTTCCAGCGTGGTGGTGAGCTCTTTCTCCAAATTATCTCTGTATTCTCTCTCCTTCATTATCGCTCTTTGCATTTTCCTCAGCTGAAATTTGGGTGTATTCATAACATCAGCCAAAGGAGAACTCCTGTAGAAATCAAATTAAGAGTGGTGAAGAATGAGATGTGAATGAGAAAAAGTTAAAAATAGTTTTTTTTATGATGTAGAAGGCTTGACAAAACAGCCTCAATGTGGATTTTATTAAAATTCACATCAGTACCTGACAGATGAGGAAGCCACTTGTTCCAAGTCAACAAAATCAACTTTTCTTGTGCGCATAAAAACTGGAGAGTCATCGCCAGACAGAGAGGACATGCTGGACATGTTACAGGTAGAATTCGAGGTGGTTACCGTCTGGTCCAAGCATTCTCGGGCAACTTTGAGACCTGAAACCATTCAGTTGACATCTTAATCCACACCAAGACTGAAGTATTTGTTGTTGCTTTTCACAATATTTTGTCTTAAGAGAATATTTTCTCCTCTTACAGTATTTATTGGTAAAAGGTGTCGACTTACATCTCCTGGCCAAGAATGCATCAAGTTTTGTGCTCAAATAAACACAACCCTCACTCTCCATCACATAATAGGTCACACTGGCAAGCCCCTCCTAAAAGACAGATAACGTACACACAATGACCTGAAAGTTCACCAATAAATCCATGTATTTTAGATTGAAATAGAACCACTCTAGTCAAATATTCCTAAAAACTCCAAAACATATTTTGTATAATATACACAAAGATGCTTTATGCTTACCTCTATGTCACAATCCAATGCTGTTAGCGTGCAGCGCTCATTCATCATGTCATGATAGACAAGCAAAACAAGCACCTGGGGGAGTGTGAGAAAATCTAATCAGAATGAGTTTTGATTTGTGATTGTATCATTTATATCATCACATTTGAGCTTACCTTAGAAATTTCCACTATCAGGTTGTTTCCCGCGCGAATGTTGTCCCAGGATATAGGACTGCCTTTTTCCGGGTTGAACCTGCATTCCCCTAATGAACAAAAATACACAAATTTAGTCATATGAAGAAAAAAAAAAAACCAAGCCCAGTTTATTCAGAAGGAAATGACTGTTCCTGTATACGTTTACAATATTTACTCAAATACAGAAAAGCTAATTTCTTTCCCTCAAAAAACAGCATAGTAATTCTATAAAAACACAAGAGGAGCTTGAGTTGTGTCCAAAGGAATTACTAAGAATCAAGTTCAGTTCGGTCCCAAAAACTACGTATATAAGCCTTCCAAACAGTGGAGAGAGAGGGTTTGGGGGGAATGTGTTTTCCTAGTGGTATAATTTGGTAAGAGGCTTCCTAAAGAGCCTAATCACCGGAAGTGGAGTGATACGGCGACATAATGAAATGGGCGCCACTCTCACGGGATAAAATTCAGTGTCTATCTTCAGGGCTGTAAGAAAACATTTAATTTCTCAACTATTAATACTTCTTATTGTCAAAGGCAATATTTGGTCATTTATACCCATAGATGACTTTGGAAGATCAGTGGTTGGGACTGAGAACCAAGATTGGGTCCACTGCACTAAAGCCCCTGTCACACCTTGACGATTTAGACCAGCGTATGCCTGACGTATGAAAAATCTGGTAGAGAAGCTGGCATACGTTGGATAAGTTTTGTATAGGTTATAAGCACACTGAAGTATGCTGAAACACGCTGGCACACGTCAAAGTACGGCAAGTACATTAAGAAATTTTCAGCATACTCAAAATTTCCCAACATAATCCAGTGTGTGCCATACATGGGGCATAGGTTATAGGTAAACTATATAATCGTTGACATACGTTAAGTGCAAGTTACTCATAAGTCATGGTGTCCAGCTTATCCAAAACCTATGAGTAACGTGTGCATAACCTATCCCCAACGCATTTCAAGGTACCGGTATTTGACGTGTTCAAGGCGTCCGCTGAGCACGTTTCTAACTTACAGCTACTGTTTAATGGCATATTGGCAGCGCTTTGGTATAAAAGGGGGTTCACATGAGGAAACCATCAGTTCTCCTCCAGACTTCATCCCCATCATAGGGTGAGCATGAAGAGGCAGCTAGATGAATACCGCAATTAAAGACATCTTTTTATGCAGACAGGACTGATGGGAGAAGCTTTAAATTATGCCATTTATGGCATTACGCTGGTGTGCATTATGCATAAGTTAGGCAGTCTTTAGACATAAGTTCCAGACTTGTTATAAATACACTATGTATATGGTTAAAATTGAAAAAATACATAGTAAGTTCAGCATATGCCAGCGTTTTAGGAGATTCTGGGACATCGGCCATATGCTGGCTAAATTGGAATGGTGTGACAAGGCCCTATTCTGGTAGGCAGGGATCTCAAAATTTTAAGTCGTTAAGGCATACTCTGTCTTTAATGTGCGTCTAAATGCTTTAAATGAAATTATTAGATAATAGGCAGGACTCTAGAGAACTTTATAAGATGCTGAGTAAGTCATACAATCACTTGATACTGGGGAATTGAGAAGGCTTACCTTCTAAGAAGTCTCTAATGAGAGGCAACCGATCCTCAGAGTTGATGGAACTGGGAATTGGTTTCTTTTTCCTGTTGGGACAAAAAAACGAAATGCTTAAAAAAAAAAAATCCATTCCAGGAAACTGATCCTTTGCCACTTCTCCAAGTCACTTGACATGTGACTTAATATACCCATATGTGCAGAGAGATGTCAAGTAACAAAGTACAAATACTTCGCAACTGTACTTAAGTACACTTTTCAGGTATCTATACTTTACTCCATTACCGGTGCTTATTTTTCTTCCTACTTCTGACTTCCACTCATTACATTTTCACAAAAGTATCTGTACTTTCTATTACTTACATTTTTAAAACAAACATTACTTGTTACTCTTGGCTTCGATTTAATATTTATAAATATTTATTTCACGTCATGTGCACGATCCAATGCAGGTCATTGGCGCCATCCAGATCTAGTGAAAACTAGTGTAATTGGATGAGTCATATAACGCAAACACTGATTGGTTAGCTAAAGGGAATCATCAGAAGCAAGCAGGTGTTCTTCAAACTTCAAACATGAATTGTCTATGCCTTGCTACAATGTCGGATTCAGAAAAATATGTCGAAATGTCTGAAAGGTTGGACAGCTTTCAATTCATATAGTGGCATCTGTTTTTTGCCATTTTTTTTAAAGGTTACTTTATACTTTTATACTCCAAGTAGTTTTTGGAGCACATACTTTTTCACTTTTACTTGAGTAAAGAGGTCAAGTTGACACTTCAACTTTTACCAGTGTTTTTGCAGTATCTATACTTCTACTTAAGTAACAAACATGTGTACTTTTGACACCACTGCATATGTGTAGTAAAAACAAGTACTAGTCCAACATAAGACAGTATTGTACACTTTTAATGATCCATCTTAATAAGAACACTGAAACTAGATAAGCTTTAATTTTGTTGTACTTGATGTACCAATGGGGAATATTCTATAAAAAGCTATCCAGTTCTTTTAAAATAATATGCTTTAAGTGCAGTCAGACCTAAGGAATAATTTAAATAATTACATTTAAATAATTAAAAAAAAATTTGTAAATAAGATTTACACTCCGAATCAGAATGGAAAAAAACTAGAGATGGCAGAGTTTTGCTGTTTTAGTTAATCTTCTTTAGAAAATATCTTTTTAAAATGGAAACAACACAGCTTTTTCTCCTTTAACCTAAAAATTAAACCAAATACTGCAAAATATCATCTACAAATACACATTGTGTTTGGCTTCACAGCTTCCATGTCTTTGTTCGATCATTGCCCTTAAAATACCTAAATATCCAGATCTGGAAAGATATCAAGTCTACACTTTAATAGTCTCTGTTAGATGTTAATCTTTAAAGACATCTAATCAAGGAAACGTGACAGAGTGGTTTTACCCTGACAGGGTTGTTTACAGGGCATGGTAATCCTCTTTAGACAAACAAACCCATATTTCAACGGTCTCACTTACAGCAGATTAATCAGTTTTAGCAGGACAGCCCCATCCTGTAAATCTTTAATCTGGATCTCCCTGTCCCACAGCTTGATATTATTGACCTGTAAAACAACATATAGAAATAGGAAAAGTCAAAAGGTATTCTATGAAACTGTTAGAGTTATTTTATCTCAATGGATCTCTGTATATTAATGTATTTTTACATAAACTTACCCAGCTGAGAAGAGCTTGGACAACCGGGTGTAACATCTTGGCTGCCCCCAAAAGGGATTTCAAACTAAGATAAAAAAAAAAAAATATTACAACAAAAATAAAAAAAATAGGCAAACATATCTGTTCACATTTAGCGTACAATCCAATTAGTTAAAAATTATGTTATGAAAGTTGACATTAACGCCACTTTTTTGCTGCATTGAGTTATTTTTGAGGTGCGGCGCTGCTGAAACATTAACGCTACGCTAATGTCCCCTAACTGCATTTTTAACGCCCGCTTACTAACGTTCAAACCAGAATAAATAGCTTCCCTAAATAGGGATTTACCTGAAATGTCGAAAATTATTCCCTTTTGGACGTTGTCTTCTTCTGTTCAACCAACTTCTTGTTCAACGGGTCAACCTCATCTGAACAAACGCAACAAAATTTTAAACTATCCGTGGAAGATCGAATCAGCCAATCGGGGTCCTCAATTTAACGCACGTTGGAATAGACGAAGGCGATTGGATTAAAAGCCGGAAAATGTAAGGACGTAAATATGGCGACGTCCTGGTCCTGTTTCGAATACACCGCCTAGGCTTTGTGGGCCGTTGTAGGTACCAGATTGACTCGGGCTGCCAGATTGACTCGGGGGCCTGCGCCTTTTGATGACGTCACAATACATAATTGTTTTAACGTTTGCACAATTGCGCAAAACATTTTGATTGGTCTGGACAGCTTACTAAAGTAATTATAGCGGGGTGTAGGTTTTATTCGAAAGCGGGATTGCTGTTTATAAACGGACAATTTTACGAAGACATTCTCCATGGTCCCTGCGCCTTCTGATGACGTCACCGAATTCGCCATGGGCCTTGCGCCTCCCGATGACGTGACATTATGGCAATGCCACTCAAACAAACTACATTGAGCCCGCGGTCTGCATTTGTAACGAGAATAAATTCAGGAGAATGAAGCTAAAGGGATACAAAAAATAAACTTGTAATATTACAAAACCAAAAATACTACGAATACAAAGTATATTCAGAGATTAAAGTCCCTCTGATACTGTTTAAGTGACTGAGAAACTGCAGATTTGCCACATTTAAGATGGCGGACGCTCTGACGCATCTCAAAAGGCGCAGGCCCCCGAGTCAATCTGGCAGCCCGAGTCAATCTGGTACCTACACCGTTAAAAAAATTACGTTAGACCAGCAGCCATATCGTGAGTGGCAAGTTATTATTAACACCTACATGTTGCCGATGTTTAATACCGTCAGACAAAAACACAAAGAACTGTTTTGCTTTTATTTTATGTAATTTCTTATTAAGGATAATGCCTCATTCATCTCTACAAAGTTAGAGATGTGTAGTCAATGTATTCAGTGAGATGTACTTAAGTAACCCGCTAGACCAGGGGTCTGCAACCTTTCATATCCAAAGAGCCGTTTTGCACAGAGTCCGACCAAGTAAAAGTTGTTTAGAGCCGCAAAATGTAACATGACTTTTTCTAGAAAACCTTATTTTTTTAATCTTGTATAGGAAATTAGTTGTTTCCATCTCAAACAATCAACAATTCATGTATTTTTAATGTTAAAACATATAATTTTCAAGCTAATTCATAGAAAAATGTCTCTTAAAACATATTTCTGGTTCTTTCAATTCTTTTCCCACTTATAAAAAACACTAAAGCTATTGATACCGGTATATATTAAAGTAAATTATTTAGCTCTTTATATAAATTTTAGCCACTATTAAGAGCCACTGAAGAGGGTCCAAAGAGCCACATGTGGCTCTGGAGCCGCAGGTTGCAGACCCCTGCGCTAGACCTTTAGTTTTTCATTAATTTCTCAAAAAACTGCCACTCACAGCATGTTAAGAGATATGTCAGGCATTCCTTGCTATTTGACTAAAGTTTGACTTGATCTGACAGTAAAAACTCAGAAAGGAAAGGTGTCCTTCAAAAAAAAAAAAAAAAAAGGACATTTTTACTTTTTTACATAAAGTCTGGTCCTCTGCAGAGACTTGGCCCCAGAAAAGCAAAAATTGTTAAGCCACTATGGAATAAAACAAGAATAACATTTCTGAAACTATGTCTGACATATTGAATTTAAAAAGAAAAAGCATCCTGGAATAAAGTTGCTTTTTTTTTCAGGAACGATGAAGTCGTTATCTAGAAATCTTCACCGCATGTCCCACAATGCACTACGTGGTTTCCAGGGCAACCGTTCCTGTTGTGTTTAAAGGCAGCTTGAGAAACGGAGTCACCACAAGTTCAAAGTGAACGGCGAATACTTGGTAACTTTACCTTATTAGTTAGTTTAAAACATTTCAACCGGCAACTTAAAACATTTAAAAGATGTGAATAGACTTTTTTATTACAATTTACTGATTTTATTAGATTATAATATTGGATTAAAAAATATATATACTCAAGTTCCATGATCAATTTCTTGGTTATTGATAATGATATATCTCTAATTCTGCAGGTTGTTGAACAGGTTCATGAATAAAACTATGTGTGGCGCTCCGGTGGATTTATCTTTCAGATGCCTCAATAGGCTGACAGGTTGTTATCACTAAATAAATCCATAAATACACACTATAAGATTGGCCTTTTGTGTAATAAAATAAAAGAAAAAGTCTTTCAAACAAAATAAAAAAATATTTATATATATATATATATATATATATATATATATATGAACATTACATCGTTATTACTTATGTAGCATAATTTAACTAAACTGAACCAATAGTGCTGCCACATCATTGATTTTATGTAACTGAAATTAAATAGTTAAATAAATTTTTCAGGAGTTTATCTAACTAACAAAACATTTCTGTTTGATTTATGCTGTTTTACTGTCAATCTGACAAAATGTTTTTATTAAGCAAACTATAGGCATGTCAGAATGTCATGAATTACCAGTTAGTATTTCAGATTTACTGAATTTACTGTATTTGTTGTTTTAGACGCTTGGATAGAGACTCCCAGCAGTGGTCTACGACCTTTAAAGAAAAACATAGAAAGGAAATACCTCAGCTGCTCCCTGCGCCTCAGTAACAACAGCATCAGTCACCTGTGCGGCCTCCATGAGACGTTGAGCCATTTCCTGGCTGAACCCTTACGCCTCGCCTGGCTCGACCTGTCGTTCAACAAACTTACACATATAGAGGAGGCAAGCATAATCTTCTGATTTCCAAAACGGCTACATCACCTTGCAAAAGTATTCACACCCCCTATCTGTTTTACAGCCATACAGTTGAATAATTGTTTCTTATCTTATTGTGGCTTTCTATGAGAGGATGCATAATTGTGAGTTTGGAGTAAAAATCAATTCATAAAGCCCCTGTTGCACCATGACAATTTAAACCAGCTTATGCCTGGTGTACGAAAAATCTAGCAAAAATGCTGACATACATTGGATAAGTTATGGGTACGTTTTATTCACCCCGTTATAAGCACGCTGAAACACGCTTGCATACGTCTGCTTATGCATGACGCTGCCATGTATTATGCATAAGTTAGGCTGTTGTTGGACATAAGTTCTGGACTTGTTATGAATACGCTATGTATACGACCAAAATAAAATAAAAAATACATAGAAAATTCAGTGCATGCTAGCGTTTTAGGAGATTCTAGGACGTTGGGCATACACTGTCTAAATCTGAAAGGTGTGACAGGGCCCTGAGATTGACATTATTGTTAAAAAAAAAAAAAACTCAGAAGAATGGCAAACATATGAATTTGTCCCCTTAAACTCTGATAAACTCAAAATCCTTATCCCATTTAGAAAGTCTACTCTATTGAAGATTAGAACAACAGGGAACAACACCACAAGCAGTTCAATTTGAAGTCCACAACTTTTTTAGAGGACCAGCCTTTTGGTTCATCTGCAAAATACCTTGAGTGGTGAAAAACCTACTGCCCACCACCCTGAACACAGCATCCCCACAGGGGTTAAATGTGGCATTACCCTGCATCTTCAGCAGGGACAGGTAAGATGGAAACCTGTTAGAGGCTGCCAAAGACCTGAGACTGGGGAAGATGTTCAGCAACTGATAAGCCTACAGCCAGGACTAAACTAGAATAATATAGATCAATGCATATTTGTGCATTAAGATGGCCTTGTCAAAGTCAAGGACCTAAATCCAAGATAATAGTTAAACGTTCATAGTCACAGATACATCCATCCAATATAACTCCCACTCCCCTAGACCAACAGGGGGTCGTAACACAGGTTAACACCATTTTGCTAAGAGGAACATCCAAGATTTTAATTAAAAAGACATGCAGCTTTACTTGCAGTTAAGGATTATTCTACAAAGCGCTAACTTACACAAAAAAAATGCTATTAATTGAAGTTAAGAAAATCATGCTTCATATTCCATCCACATACAGTAAGCAGAACTGCTTTATGTAGACCTACCACATACAATCCACCAAAAATTACATGATACAAATACTTCCCAAAGGAATCGTACCGTATTTTTTCACTTAACGCCTTTATGATTGATTGAAACTGACATGAAAAGTTTGTGTGCAAATATGTTGCAGGTTCTGAGTGAACTGCTTGGACTCCGTGTGTTATATCTTCACGGAAACAACATTCATACTCTATCAGAGGTAGACCTGCTGGGTGGGCTTCCCCATCTCTACTCCATCACTCTACATGGAAACCCGATAGAGAAAAACAAGACCTACAGGTGACAATTTTTCTAACACAACCTAATGAGTTAATATGGATTACTAAAAGGAGATCCTTTATCTTTAGCAATTTTTATAGCTTTAAAGAAATACAGTCTGCCCTTTGTTTGCCTTATATATAACAGCACTAAATAAAGACAGGCAGTGCCGACTGTTGGGATTAACAAATACAGAGAGGGCATAAGAGGGATAACCTTTTAGACCTGCATGCTGTGCAGGCATGTATATGCAGGACATTGCAACAGGTGCTTAAGTACGGATCAAATTCATATCCTGGTCTGCCCAGCAACAGCGTCTAAACACCCAGCACACAGACTGCTTGCTGAACTACTAATGTTTTCTTTTTTCCTGTCTGCTTACTAAAACTTTTTCAAACTGTGGCTTTCTCTGAAACAGTGCAGCTTTTTTTTTTTTTTTAGCTTGAATTGCAGTGCTTGAAAATTATGTTTTTAAAGCTAACTTTTCAAACCTTCATAATTTGATATATTGGCATGAAAAGAAAATGAAAATCAGTGTGAATGTTTCTGTATGCAGGGATCGTGTGATTTCTGTGTTGCCTCAACTAAAGACGATGGACTTCAGTGCGGTGACACAGGAGGAGAGAGTCCTGGCTAAGCTTTGGTATCAGAGCAACAGCCGCTGCAGAGACACCAGGAAGAGTCTCCACTGAATGGTAGAACGTGTGGAAATCAGAACCCACACTAAATGCTGCAGTTCACCAATGGAAAAGTTCACAATTATAGTAATTCAAAGTGGTATCAGACTTGTTCTTACTAAAATGTAATTTCTTGTTTTATACTTCTATGGTAATGTTAATATCTATATAATTTGTAGTACCGTATATTAATCTAAGCAGGGCAGGTTTTATGGAGAAACCCATTTCTTGCACAGCAGGATTTGGTGCATGCTCGCACTGTTAAAGGCGATAACTGGTTTAGCAGCCATAAAATCGCTGTGCTTTTAAACAGTAGTTTAGGATCTTGTAGCCATAATCATCAAAAAAAGAAATCTGTGTATCAGTTTGCATAATGGATCTATGCAGTATCAGAGTATAAATTTGAGTAAAACAACAAATAACATTTTGAATGTTCTTCTAATTATTGAAATACCTATAAAAAATGTTAAACATCACTAAATAAACCACCTCTCAGAAGTGAACATGTATCGACTATTAAGACATGAGAGTTTAGTTGAAACTTTTTAATGACTTGATTAAATCAAAAAACAAACAATAAAGATGTTTAGAATCGTTTGGTACTAGCCTAAAGAAAATGCAAACATACAGTCATTCATGTTCTACACATTTAAGTAACAAACAGAAAAAGAAAAAAAAAAAAGCCAAAACCCAATGCACAAAACAAAGCTCTAATCAGTTGTGGTTTAGTCACAGACTTGCAGGCTCCCTTTAGAGACTCCAGATCAGCTTACTTTGTGTGCTCCTTCAAAACACACATGTACATTTAAGAACAGAAAAAAAATACATAAATAATTTCCCAAGGAACTGAGGTTTATCTCCCCTGGTGCGTAGATTAACACACCACTACGGTGCTACAGGTGTTAGTTTCTGATTAATATGAAAACCTCAAACTGGAAACGCTTTGAGTAAAAAGCTAACGACTGCAGACCTGAAAAGTGTTGTGTCTTATTAAAAAAACAAAAGCATCATCCAACAGGACCCTCCAGCCATCGATGTCATCAATCAGAAGATTCTGCTAGAAGGTAATGATTATACATTGCAAGTCTCTGCACCCCCGTAGGCCACCAGCGACACCTTTGATTTCTCTACCCGTCATTTAAAATGTTTAATTCCTGCCCAGCTCATCAGAAGGCGAGGATATTCAAACAGCATCTGTAAATTTGAGCATCACACTCAAATGTTTTCAGATGACACCAGGTGGCCCAACCAGCCTGCATCCAAGGCTCATGTTTGTCAATCATAACCATCATCAGCTGACAGATAAAGCTGTCTGATGCTAAAATGAAAACAGCTTTTTTTTTTCTTGAGAATGACACCAGATGACCTGCATGATCTGAAATACAACGATATAATTGATATTTGCTCTTTTAAAGCTAAAATTTACTTTTTTTTTTTTTACTGCTCAGACAAAAACCAACTGAGGAGTAATTCGGCTTTTAAGTTATTTGTACAGATATGATGACATGTTACGGGATCTTTGCAGGTGCACTACAACTGTAGGTCTGTTCTGTAAAACTGTCTATCGCAGGTAAACCTGAGCCAATCATCATGAAGCCGTCTCAGTGTGTGTGCTTGATGGAACATAGAGTCTAATAAAGAAATAAAGACACCGAGAAGAGCCCGGAAACCTAAAAAAGGTTTTAGATTGACATTTCTTTTACAAAACCTGAAAAAAAGGCTGTTATACATGTTTTATACACAGAGGATGCCTCTCTGAGCGGATCACCATAAACGTAGGGCAAAAGCCTCCTCCACTCATCTGCTGGATAAATTCATTAAGAGTTTTTTTTCTTTTTCCGGGGGGTTAGCATTCACTTCCTGTGTTCAAAGAAGTTCGTGGCAGAGCTAAAAGCACGATAACCAAAACGTTTTATTGAAAAAAAACAGGTGGACTGGAGGATGATGAAGCAGGAGTGGCAACGAGCGAGTAGGATGGGTGGAACTGTACGCAGGAAAGAGTCAGGGAATAGCAAACTGGACAACCAGTTCCTCTTTAGCATCCACTTTGATTTGAGAGATTGCACTATATGCATAAGCTGCTATCTTGGATACCTGCAAAGAAAAAAAAGAATATGTTTTTGTGCAAAATAAGTAAAATTATTTCAAATTATATATTGATGTATGTTATTCTATTAAGAAAAAAACCTCTATGAGGCCTCTCTGTCATTATGTTTTACTCAAAAAGGGAAAAACAACATGGCTGAAAACAAATGCTTACCTGCTGAACATCTGAGTATGGCACCAGGTCACTTGCGAGCACTTGGTGGGGCTGGCTTGTTAGGGAGGGAAGAGAGAGGGCTTTCTTCTGAGGCAAACTGGTGCTTAATACAGCCAGTTTTGTACTGGAAAAAAAAAAAAACGTTCAAAACTTACTGGGTATATAATTAAGACACATTTAGTCTGGGACACATCCCAAGAAACAAACTGTGTTTTGAGAACCTTTTGAGAACAGTGTCTACATCTGTATCTTAGTCTAAACAAAACTGCAGTCAGAGGTGAAACATCCAACTCCCACTAGCTAATCGGAGGCTAGTGTTGAGAATGGAGCCTTTGTGATTAAAATGGTCTCCCTACACATTCCTTCCAAATCATTTCCTTGGTCCCTGTATTTTCACAGGGTTGCATTTTTACATGTCAAAACTACATTTTTCTTTTTACATAAGTTCTCCTTTTAGGCCTAATTTAATTTTCTAAATTTGTTTAAGATATAGAAGCTACAAAAATCAGTGATCAGTGACTAAAAGAAAGGAAAGACATGTTTGGCTTGATGGACTAATAGATGCATGGAGAAACTCCTGCAGCCAGTATGGATGGATAACATCAAGAATAACAACCTGTTAATGGTGGCATAAGAAAATACCAGAGATGGGGTGGATCTGGAGTCAACAAGTCATCTCTCTGTCATGCATTTGTTCTGCCCAGCCACTAAGGCAGGTGAGTTCAATCTGCACAGTGTGCAGCTGGTTCAGTCACCTGGTTCAGTGGCCATTTTACTCAGCTACTGTAAAAATCTGACTGGTTAATAATCTTTAGATGGAGTGAAATAATAATGGAAGAATCATAGCTTTCTATGTCACAGCAAAGTAAGTTTTTTTCAACAAGCACAAAACTTCTAACATACCTGTATTGTCGAGCTTTGTCCATGATTTCGTGCTGCTCCATCACTACAGAGTCCGCTGCTGAGACATCAATGATGTTCCTGGGATAAAAAGGAAGAGACAAAGCAAAAAAGAAAAAGGAAAGAGATAAAATAAAAAGTTTTATTGCCAAGAAATACACATTGTTGATTTTTATGCATCACGTGAAAACCTGACTTACTGAGCAGTCTTTGTCAGGATGGATGTGAGGAGGGCTTGTCCATCTGTCTGTGCAGAGGGGACACTGGTTGTGGTCCAGTCTGTCCCATTTGGAGGTTTGCTCACAGGGTTTTGGTGGGATAGCAGCGGTTCGATCTCATCATTCTTCTGGAGCAGAGTGAGGAAAATGGGTGGCAGCCATTGAAAGTAGCTTCTTTAGATTGAGATTCAAAGCTCTAATAAAGTTGAACAAATCTGCTCTATGGTCAGCACATTTCTAACCTGAACTTGTATCTCAAGCAGCACATAATTACATTACTTTTAATACCAAATTGACATTTTAAGTACCAAATAAGTAAGTAAGGTTTATTTATATAGCACCTTTCTCAGACAAGAATCACAAAGTGCTGTGCAATATGAGGCATAAAATACAAAGCAAGACCATATAAAATGCATGCAGACAAAATAAATACAATCATAGCAGCCTTTGGTAAAATGAGTCTGAAAGGCTTGGGAAAAAAAATAATGTTTTTAGTAGTTTTTTTTTAAATTATTTAACAAGTAGGACTAAATAAATGTACACTTCTTTGTTTTCCCTTTGCAAACTAAATCAAAATGACCTCCATTCCAAATGGGTGGACCCCTTTGTCTTTTCCAACTTGCATGTTTTCAAAACAAAAACAAGCCTTTGTTGGGCTACTGTATAAAACCTCGAACTCAACCATATTCCTGACATTTTGAATCGAAAAAGCTTCCTGGATGGGAAGCTAAATGTCTTCAAACTTGGAAACCGAGTCCAGTGGATTGCTTTTATTGTTTATTTTTAGGAAAAACTAAAATAAGCAAAAATATAGTTTTGAAAGGTGTGTGCTACATGTTCTTTTTAGGTGTTTAGGTGAACCCCAGCGCATTAAAAATAATAGAAAAGTTAAGATCTCTGAGGTTAACTCAGCCAGTACAATATAAGCAAAGCTTCACTAAAAGAACGGGTAATAAACCAAAACATAAATCCCTTCACATTTTGAATATTATCAAACAATTCAGCTCAAATGCCAACATCGACCATGTATGATAAATTGAACATGTATGAAAACTGAAAGGAAAACTTAAGCCAAAGGGGGAAAACGATGCTGGTTTCCTTAAACTAAAACCAGCTGCGGGTGTCAGCAGTCATATGACACAGCAGCTGTCATGGCAAACATTTTCCTCTCTGCTCAACAATTCATGATCGATTATTTAGCCAATATTTAAACTTAGTGCTTCTCTAAATGTCATGCGTAAATCAAAGCCAATAAACCGTATTTTGTTTTGTATATATTCACATTAACACCGATTTCCACGTTTTAAACCTGTTCATTGTGTACTGTTTCGAGTTGTGTCAACTTTATGAGCAACTTAGCCTGTGTTCGGCCTGCTCCGCCGGCTAGTAAGCTAACGCTACATTCGGGCTTCCAGTTTGAAACAAACAAACATATAACTTGTCTGTCTTAGTAAGAATGGTTTAAGAACTACAAACTAAAGCAAAGGAAATACTACGAGTATGTGTTTCCTTTAAAATAAGCCAGGAGGCAGTAATCACGGTGGGCTAGCAACTAGCCGCTAGCTACCTGTCCGGAGCTGTCTTCCTCGCCACTGTAACAGCAACCCATTGCTGCGTCCGAGGAGTCAAACTACGCAACCCCTCCTTCTCCGCTCTCCTTCACAACAGAGCCGCGTTACTCTTCCGTTACAAACATAAAGCTAAGAATCCGCCAGGGTGTTTTTTAATTTAAACCAACACCAAGGTAAAAAGCTACTGTGTACAGCAGCTTGCTCAGGGCAGGCTATCACATGACAACAGCTGTGAGACAACAACACAACGACTACTTCCGGTATTTGAGAAGCAGCGATTACCTAAGTCACGTGACGGGGGAAAATTCAAGAAGAGGTGCTGCAGGTAATGCAGGACTTTACATAACATTATTATGTTATACTTATACATTATTTAAGGTCAACATTTGTGTGGCCATTATCAGTAATCTTTCTGCTGCTGTAAATTTGCCCATTATGGGACAATAAAGAGATTTTGTATTCTATTCTATAAAAGGGGTAGAAAGATATAAGTAAATCTAAACAATGTATGTATAAAAAATATATCTGCAAAATCTCTAATATTCAACAACAAAAAATACTTAGTTAGGCATTTTGTACAAAACAGCAATAAAAAAATAAAAATCCTATCAAATTTATAGTCCCCATAGTGCAGATATATTAGAATCTGTCCTTAAATTACAGCCAAACCCATTTACACAGTAACAGATAAATTAAACATTACCTGCCACATATCTGACTCAATAACCATTAAAACAACTATTTTCATTAATTTCAGACAGAACTAATTACAAACTTGGATTATATTAAACTGAACTTCCAATATTCACCACTGTTCGGTGCCAAGTACCATTTCCTCTGATCACGGAGCAGCCGGCTTGACCCTATTCAAGGACCCTAAAGGTACAAACCAGAAACTATCTAAGGGCAGTCCTCTAAGAACCCAACTAACTAAACTGTCTTCCTCACAGACTCCGGTGAACCCGTTTTTCCCAGGACCAGAACCTGAACACATTACCTCTGAAATTGTATTCAATAAACTCTGTGAACTTTTCAACTGTTTCCTGCCTCGTGGTGTTCTGCATAATTGGGTCACATTCGTGTACCGATCATGACAGAACACTGCGGCCAAACACAGGACCCAGCAGAGCACCTCCGGAGGAGGCTTGAAGTACTAGAAGCTCAAGTCCATGGTCAAGCCAAAACCCTCCGTGAGTTGAATGCTTTTGTTGAACACCATAACCAGACTTTACAGTCTTTCGCCGGCTATTTTGGAAGCGCTAATGCCGTTCCGGCAGCGCAACCACTTCCGGGTCCAATTCCCCCTCAGAGGTCACCAGAAGTGACGTCATCAGAGTTCCGCCCAAGCCTTCCTGAGAAATTCTCCGGCAATATGAAGGATTGCAGAGGATTTTTATTTCTGTGCAGATTATTGTTTCAGAACTCTCCCAACAGTTTTTCGACCGACTTTAAGAAAGTAACCTTTATTCTCTCTCAACTAACAGGAAGAGCTTTGGAGTGGGCCCAGGCCAGATTTCCCTCAGATGAAAGTCTCAACTGCCGATACTCTGATTTCATTTCTGAGTTCTCCCAGGTTTTTAATCAAGAAACTGATCAAACAATTGACTCTCGTGCTCTTTTCAGTATTAAGCAGGGAAATTCATCTGTGGCTGATTTTTCGATAAACTTCCGGGTTAAGGCAGCAGCTTCCGGATGGAATCAAAGTGCTCTGAAGGGAGCTTATTTCATGGCCTTAAATGAGAATATTAAAGACGAACTGGCAACTCTCGACGAGCCAGCCTCCCTTGAGGATCTAATCAAACTAACAATTAGATTGGACAACAGAATTAGAGCCAGAAACAGCTCCAAGATAAGAGATTCTGGGTCTCACGCCCCTACATCTGCCTCAAATATCGTGACTGTTTCTTCTCCTCCCACAGAGCGACCAAAGGCCCAGTCCCTCCCTCTGCCTGTTCAGGCTTCACATTCAGGTGGTATGGAGGTCGAACCTATGCAGGTGGGACACACTCGGCTTACTCCTGAGGAGAGACAAAGACGTTTTTTGAGCAGACTTTGCATCTATTGTGGTGAAAGTGGACATTTCATTGCTTCCTGCCCGGCTAAATTAAAAGGCAGGGCCCGCCAGAGGATCTGAGGAGTCTGGCGGGCCAAACCAACTCTAAGAAATCTCCTCGATTGATGCTTCCTGCCACTTTGTTTTGTGATAATCAGAACCTCTCCTTTTCTGCCTTTATTGACTCAGGCTGTGAACGGAACCTCATAGACTCTAACCTTGTTCAACAGTTGATGATTGAAACTGTTCCCCTTTCTCAACCTCTCCGTGTCTCTGCCATTGATGGGAAAAGTCTCCACCAAGTTACTCATCAAACTCAACTCCTCGAGCTCCTCCTCTCAGGTAACCATCGTGAAACTATCACATTTTTTGTCATTCCTTCCGCATGTTCCCCGTTGGTGCTCGGATTCGAATGGCTGGAGAAACACAATCCATGCATTAATTGGACTGAACGTCACGTGGAAGCATGGTCTTCGTTATGTCATGAAACTTGTCTTCGGTCGGCAGCCCCCGTGGTGGGGCCTCCTAGAGGGGGGGGAGAGATGGACTCTCCTGACCTATCTTCAGTTCCCTTTGAGTACCATGACTTGGCCCCGGTCTTCAGTAAGGTCAGTGCTACGTCCCTTCCACCACATAGACCATATGACTGTGCAATTGAGTTGTTACCTGGAGCACCGTTACCCAGCAGCCGTTTATATAACATCTCCAAACCAGAACGAGAGACAATGGAGAGGTATATTAACGAGTCTTTAGCTGCTGGAATTATTCGCCCGTCCTCTTCTCCTTTGGGTGCTGGTTTCTTTTTTGTTGGCAAGAAGGATGGTTCATTAAGACCATGCATTGACTACAGAGGGTTGAACCAAATCACTATAAAGAATAAGTACCCTCTACCTCTCCTAGCCTCAGCTTTTGAACCTGTTCAGGGGGCAACAGTCTTCACCAAACTGGATCTGAGAAACGCATATCATCTCCTCAGAATCAGAGAAGGAGATGAATGGAAGACTGCTTTCAAGACACCATTAGGTCAGTTCGAGTACCTGGTGATGCCTTTTGGTTTAACAAACGCCCCCGCCTGCTTTCAAGCACTAGTGAATGATGTTCTCAGAGACTTTTTAAATGTGTTTGTCCTTGTCTATATAGACGACATACTCATTTATTCACGGAACTTAACTGATCACAAGAAACATGTCCGCCTGGTGTTACAGAGGCTACTGGAGAACAAGTTATTCGTCAAGGCAGAAAAATGTGAGTTCCACCAACCATCAGTGACCTTTTTGGGGTTTGTGCTCGAGGGCGGGCAGGTTAAGCCTGCTGAGGACAAGATAAAGGCGGTATTGGACTGGCCGATTCCTGAAACTCGAAAACAGCTTCAAAGGTTTTTGGGGTTCGCCAATTTTTACCGTCGTTTCATTAGAAATTATAGCCAGACGGCTCAACCTCTGACCTCTTTAACTTCGGTTAAGAGGAATTTTCAATGGACTCCCGAAGCTCAGTCTGCTTTTGACAAACTGAAATCTTTGTTTTCCAGAGCACCGGTGTTAATTCAGCCTGACCCTTCCAAACAGTTCATCCTGGAGGTCGATGCTTCGGATTCTGGCGTTGGAGCCGTCCTTTCCCAGAGACTCGACTCAGATCAAAGGATTCATCCATGTGCTTTTTTCTCTCGCAGACTCTCATCAGCAGAACAGAACTACGGCGTTGGAGATCGAGAACTATTAGCCATCAAATTGGCGTTGGAGGAGTGGAGACACTGGCTAGAGGGAGCTGAGCACCCGGTTCTAGTCTGGACTGATCACAAGAACCTTGCTAGCATCCAGTCTGCCAAACAGGCCAACCCTCGTCAATCCAGGTGGTCCATTTTCTTCTCCAGATTTAATCTCGTTATCTCCTACAGACCCGGATCAAAGAATGTGAAACCAGACTCCCTCTCGCGCCTATACTCCGTCGATCAACCCGAGACACCAGAGCCAGTCCTCCCGGCCTCTTGTACTGTGGGAGTTGTGAACTGGGAGATATCCGATCTCATTAACTCCGCCCTGGCCACGGAACCCGACCCAGGTAACGGTCCGGCTAACAGAACTTATGTTCCGTCTTCCGTCAGGTCCAGGCTCATTCAATGGATGCACACTGCCAAATTCTCGGCCCACCCTGGAGTCAGTAGAACTATCGCTCTCATCACCAGACGCTTCTGGTGGCCCACTCTCCACAGGGACGTAAAGGAATATGTGCTGGCCTGCCCCATTTGTGCTAGAAACAAGGCCTCGCATCAGCCACCTTCTGGTCTGCTACAACCTCTTCCGATCCCTTCACGTCCATGGTCCCACATTGCCATAGATTTCGTCACTGGTCTCCCCGTCTCTCGAGGTATGTCCACAATACTCACCATCGTTGACCGTTTTTCCAAGTCCTGTCATTTAGTCCCTCTCAGGAAGCTCCCCTCGGCGTTCCAGACTGCTCAGCTTCTCGTGAAACACGTCTTCAGATTACATGGCATTCCCCAGGAAATCCTATCAGACCGTGGACCTCAATTTATCTCTCAAGTTTGGAAAGCCTTCTGTTCAGCTCTGGGCTGTAAGTCTGCTTTAACTTCAGGTTATCATCCACAATCCAACGGTCAGACCGAGCGCATGAATCAGCACCTTGAATCCACCCTCCACTGCCTAACGTCCAACAACCCCACCGACTGGAGCCAGTATCTTCCTTGGATCGAGTACGCCCATAACTCCCTGAGATCAGCATCCACCGGCCAGTCACCATTTCAGGTCAGTCATGGATACCAACCACCACTTTTCCCCGCAGATGAAAAGGAGATAGCAGTCAAGACCATCAACCAACACATCCGTCGCTGTCAAAGAATTTGGAAGGAAACCATCACCACCCTAAACAAATCATCAGAGACCAACAAACGTTTTGCCGACTCCAAGAGACGTCCCGCTCCCGAGTACGCCATCGGACAGGAGGTATGGCTGTCTACCCGAGACATTCCCTTGAGGGGAATGTCTCGGAAACTGTCTCCCAGATTCATCGGTCCATTTAAGATTTCCCAGGTTATCAGTCCCTCCGCAGTCCGTCTCCAGTTACCTCCGAGTCTACGCATCCACCCCACCTTTCATGTCTCTCAGGTCAAGCCCGTAGTCTCTAGCCCTCTGTGCCCGCCATCCGACTCCCCACCACCCGCCCTGGAAGTCGATGGCAACCCTGCGTTCACCGTCCGTCGCATCGTGGACTCCCGTCGGCGAGGTCGCGGCTGGCAGTACCTCGTCGACTGGGAGGGCTACGGACCTGAAGACCGTCAGTGGGTTCCCGGCTCTTACATCCTCGATCCTTCCCTGATCGAGGAGTACGAGCGTTCCTGCCCATCTACTTCCTCCGGACCGCCAAGGGGCGGTCGTTGAGGGGGGGGGTACTGTTGGAAGCTGGAGAAGTACCTCTCTTCTCCAGCAGAGTCCGCCGTGGATCCTCCTGAGCAGAGCCCTCTGCACAGCTGCTGCTCGTTACCATCATCAGGAGGACCCTCTACTTAAGCTGTCTTCAGACCTTGCCTCAACGCCGCAGTGTTGAGCCAGTTGGTTAGAACCTAAACCTAGAACCTCTGAGAACTTAGTTTGCTCTGAATCCTGACAGGATCCTAATCTTGTCTCTGTCTTTCCAGGAAAACCTGATCTTGCGAAGCTCTGGAAGAGCTTAACCTGCCGAGCCTGCCCTCTGAGCCAAACCTGAAGATTACCTCTGGATTCACATGCAGCTCTGGACCAAGAGCTGGAAACCCAAAGTCAAGGTCTGCTACCTTCCTAGAAGCAAGACGCTGAAGCAGCTGCTAACCAGACTCTCTCCAGTTCCAACAACCTTCCTCTCCAAGTGCTATTCAAGGACCCTCAAGGTACAAACCAGAAACTATCTAAGGACAGTCCTCTAAGAACCCAACTAACTAAACTGTCTTCCTCACAGACTCCGGTGAACCCGTTTTTCCCAGGACCAGAACCTGAACACATTACCTCTGAAATTGTATTCAATAAACTCTGTGAACTTTTCAACTGTTTCCTGCCTCGTGGTGTTCTGCATAATTGGGTCACATTCGTGTACCGATCATGACAATTACGTCTACAAAGTGACATCCTTGTCTACAATTGTGTAGGGGGGCTACCAAGTGTCATTGACGAGATCAATAAAGTTCAGTCGTTTTTATTATTATCATTACACATGGTGCTCTGTATGGATCTGATCAATAAGTATTTCTAATGGGTTGGCATGTTTATATGGAAGCAAATCGTTACCACATTTAAAATGAAGTAGTACAATGTGATGCAACGCAGATGTGCACAGCGCCCCCTACCAAACAAGATGGGTAGCCTGGTCAGCGAGGACCTGAGGAAGAGTGGCTGCTAACGTCACTCTGCTGCGCCCGCCGCTTAGAATGCTTTTTCTTTTTCGAGTTATGAACAGTACTTTGCTGGCAGACCACGAAAACGAAAAAGCAATGTCCGCTGTGCTTTCTCTCTAAAATGTGCGGTCTTAAAGAAGAAAATGAAAATGCAAATAGGATGATTGATTACTTATTTCATTTATGAGTCAAATAATGCAGCCACATTCTTAAAATGAAAAAGCATTTCTGGAAATGCTTTTTTATTTTCAAATTTTACATTTCAGATTGAATTTTGGTATGAATTTGCTGGGGTACATTTTGAAAAATAAATCTCAAATGTCTTTTTCTTTTTAATTTTAATTAAGTAAAAGGATGAGCAGTCTTGAAGAAGGAAATTAAAATGCAAATAGGACGACTGATTACTAATTTTATTTGTGAGTCAAACAATGCAGCCACATTCTTAAAATGAAAAAGCATTTCTGGAAAGGCTTTTTAATTTTCAAATTTTACATCTCAAATTGAATTTTGTTATGTATTTGCTGGGGTGCATTTTGAAAAATAAATCTCAAATGTCTTTTTCTTTTTAATTAAGTAAAAGGATGAGCAGTCTTGAAGAAGAAAATTAAAATGCAAATAGGATGATTGATTACTAATTTATTTATGAGTCAAACAATGCAGCCACATTTCTGGAAATGCTTTTTCATTTTAGGAATGTTTTCATATTTCTTCATATTCCAAAAATGCTTTTTCATTTTAAGAATGTTTTCATATATTTTTTTTTTTCATATTTCAAATGAAAACGCAGTTTTAGAAATTCTCTTTTATTTGAAATATGGTAACGATTTGCTTCCATACATTTAATGTAGGGTGATCCAGTAGAGCTGCTCCTGTTCTGGAGTCAGACTGACTGATGGGTGGGATGATGACTGGGAGGCGCCTGCCCTCTAATTACCCCCTGTTTCCACCAAACACCTCTTTGTTTACTCCCTCAGGAGAGTCAAGTCCAGGCAGAGGTGCTACCGTGAAAACTTCACCCAGGAACCAGAACCATGTCTGTGTTTCTGCTCAGCTCTCTCCTATCCTCCGCTGTGCTTTCTGCCTCTGACACAGCGGTCCCGATCGGACCTCCCTCCATCGGCTTCAGCTCGTCGTTCCGTTCGGTGTGTAAGCCCATCCCGTCCACCCTGTCTCTTTGTCACGGCATCGGTTACCGCCGCATGTGGATCCCCAATCTGCTCGGCCACGACTCCCTGAAGGAGGTCCAGCAGCAGTCGGCCGCCTGGCTGCCGCTGGTCTCCAAGCTGTGCCACCGGGACACCAAGAAGTTCCTGTGCTCGCTGTTCGCCCCGGTGTGCCTGCCGGAGCTCAGCGGGGCCGTCAGCCCCTGCAGGAGCCTCTGCGAGGCCGTGCGGGACGGCTGCCTGCCCGTGATGAGCGCCTTCGGCTTCCCCTGGCCAGAGATGTTCAACTGCTCCCGGTTCCCCAGCGGGACGGAGCTCTGCATCCCGGCCACCGGACAGCAGGAGGAGCTGACGGAGGAGGAGGTGAAGCGCGAGGAGGAGCTGAAAGGTCCGACTTCTTTTATATATCCTGACTTTTAACTTAAACTGTCCAGAAAAACAAACATCAGCTGCTGAAGCCGATTTTATTTGTTTATTGGATACATTCGCATTAATGGAAAAAGCCTGAGGCAGAGGTTCCCAATGTTAGGCTCCGGACCCTGCTGGGAGACGCGAATCAACATAACAGGGTGTTAATATCTTTCATAAGCAGCAGGGGCGGAGCTAGATGGGGGGCCAGGGGTGGCCATGCCCACCCTTAGCCAATCATTGGCCACCCCTACCATTTTTTTTCTCTCACAAGTCGAATATTCAAAGCATTTTAATTTTATATATATTAACATTGCCTGGTTCTGGTGAAGGTTGCTTCCTGTTTAAAGGGAGTTTTTCCTCTCCACTGTCGCTACAAGCATGCTCAGTGTGAGGGATTGCATTAGAGTCAATGAGTAAATGCAATCAACTGGTTTTCCTTTGATAGAAAACTTTGAATCAATTTGACTGGATGATCTGGTGAACTGTAAAGTGCCTTGAGATGACTTGTGTTGTGAATTGGCGCTATAGAAATAAACTGAATTGAATTGAACATTACTTGACAACAAAAACCATCCATCCATTATCTGAGTCGCGAGGGGTGCCAGCAGTCAATGGGCGAGAGGCGGGGTACACCCTGGACAGGTCGCCAGTTCATCGCAGGGCAACACAGAGACACACAGGACAAACAACCTACAAAACTACTTTACAACAAAAACACTGTAGTTAATTATGCACATCAATATACCAACATTAGAGATGATTAGTGCAGAATTCATTCTGTTTCTGAACTAGATTTTGCGTTATTTGCCATAAAGAGAAAATTATGTCTCTGCAAGTCATCTAAGAGACTTCAGTGAAATCATAGATACTGAAAATAACTATTTTAATAAAAACCTGTTGAATTATCAATTTATGTAGATATTATTACTTGTAAATACCAATTTAATGTAGAATGAAGTTTGTATAAGTAGGTAAGTAATGACGATGGAAAAGATGTTCGCTCCAGAACTCAAACCTCAAAGATTTTTATCCAATATAGCTTTTATCTAGACGGATGTTTAAATATATGCATCAATTTGTTTGCAAAGGCTGCAGGAAATTATAGTTTGTATTTATTGAGGAATATGGACGTTGTGCTTGTTCCTGTTGGAACAGTGTAGGTTGACCCTGAGGTTCTGGTGCCTATCCACTTTTGGCGACCACTCAGTATACATTGGTTATGCCTGGCCACCCTTATAAAAGTTTTCTGTCTACCCCTTTGATAAGCAGTGGTGTCAAAAATAAAGACATTTGTTACTTAAGTAGAAGTATAGATACTGCAGTTTAAAAACACTCTGGTAAAAGTAAAAGTGAAAGAGCAACTGCTCCAAAAACTACTTTTATGCACCATGTGTTTCAGAGAATAATTTGACTCTGAGGCTCAATTAAGTGGTTTCCAATCAAGGAATTCAATGGTAGTCAAAAGATTTTTGAATCATTCAATTTGAGGTTTCCCCCCTGAAACATTTTTTACACATATTTTGTTAGGGTGATTGTTTTCCAGATTCACATTTTATTTAATATTTTATCATAATGTTTGCAATTGTTGTTGTCTTTATGCCCCAAAAGTTAAGATCTCACTCATGGTGTCTATTTTGGCCTTTAACAAAATTATTTTTGACATAGCTACATGGTCATTTGTCCTCTTCAAAACATATGCTAAATTCATTCTTATCTTTTCCATCCTCAAACTGTAAAACTAATTGTTTGTCTATCCATTTAGAGGTGGGTAAACACTGGACTGTTCACCAGTCTGTCACAGGGCAACACAGAGACATACAACCATGCACATTTATACTCACACCTAAGGACAATTTAGAGAAAAAAATGAACCTAAGATTTAATTAAGCTCTAGAAGGACTGTTAATCATCCTCCCTTACCTCCAGCATAGACCCCGATCTGTCAATCCCCACTGCCCAGCATCGTTGCTTTCTGCTTTCTTGGGTAGATCTACCAGAAGTTCCGCTGAATTCGACCGAATCAGAGCTGCATATGGATGAAAAAAAGACTCTTTTTTTTCAGAGCTTGTAGGGTGTTTCCAAAAAATGATGGTCTCCCCAAGGTGATTCAAAAGTTTTTCATAGAGATCAATTTAGCAGCAGTCCGTGATATTAAGTTGACCTTTACAGAAAATGCTATGGGGTTGCCAGGGGTAACGGCAGCGCCAAAGTGAAGTATCTGGGAGGCTGGGGATTTACTTAACAATAAACAGTCATTCCAACCACTAAATACGGTAAACATGCCCACTACTATATTCAGCGCAGCACAGGGATGTCATGCAATCTTATGCAATAACTTTATATCAGGTAAGGAGCGTAGCCCTAACATCTGCTGGGATGGCAACGTCCTCTACCGTGATTAAAAATGAGTCTTAAAAACCCAAATCAGCAAAACAACAGTTTTACCTGCACAGATGGAGTAGCACTCTATGCAGAAAGGGAATTGAACCCAGAACCTTCTTGCTGCAAGGTAGCAGTGCTTTCTATTGCAGTACCTTGAAGCCCTTAATTTTGTTTGTTTTTTTGCATTTGGAACAGAAGCTCAGTGTAACTGGTGTAGAAAATAGTTTTATAAACTGAAATGTTGCCTTTGGGTTTTCTGAATCTGTCTGTACTTTTTTTTATTTCTAGCATTTTAAAATATTAAATATGTAGACTTAAAAATAAGCTAAGCCATTCTTCATCAAATATACAAACCAGATAACATTATATACTTAAAACATATATTTAAAGGTTAGATTATAACTTTAGTATGTAAAATAATAAGGCCAGTGTTTATATTACTTTAGTATGTTTTGTGTTTTACCATATCTACTGTCTTTACAGAAATATTTTATTAGATAGTCTATCTAAAAAATTCTTCCTGTTATAAACCAGAAATGGATGTAATGTTCAAATGTTCTGAGGAAACTAACTGAAAGGTGAAATTATTGGATCATGCTGTTATTGATAATAAGGATTAGAGCTTCATTAAATGCTGTTTGGAAGTAACTTCCCTTCTATTATCATGTTGTCGGTGATTATTGGGTGTGGTATGTTGTGAAAGTCTGTTGGTTTGGTGTTTAAAGGGTCTGTTCTTCTTGACATTTACCTTCAGAAATGTTTGTTGGGTCTTCTTGCTGAGATTTAACTGTAGCAGGAGTCCTTAGAATGACTGACTTTGATATGATTGATTGTAATTTATGCAGAAGGAAGATATTAACGTCAAGAAAAAATGTTTTGGGGATGAACAGTTGTTACTTTTGTAAATTGACTAAATTGTATAGGTCGGTTTTTAGAAATAAAAAGGTTTGAACTGCTAATTTTGAGATAATTCACACCCTACTTTTTCACAGCTTTAATTTGTCAGCTTAGAGGTGAGACCAAATGATCACTTTGCAATTTAAAAGTCAGCTTAAAGTCTTTAAAGTTAAATCCTTTCAAGTCATCAATACATCATAAGGAACAACCCCTAAAATACCACAGCCCAATGGACTGGTAGCTATGCATGTTTGGAGCTGGGATAGGTTCTTTACCCCTAATATTTGCTTTAATGACAGCATCATGTACAAGTAACAACATCCAAGTCAAAAGTCATTAGTTTTCAGGTCAAATTTGAATTACAAATCTGTTCTCCTACAAACTAGTCAAATCTAAATGCTATCTAACTAATTTCAATGCAAGAAGCTACAATATAACTAAAACCAGTTGTGGGAAGTAAAGTAAATTTACTTGATTACTGTACTTAAGTACTTTATTGAGTATCTTTACTTAACTTGAGTAAATTTTTGCTGCTAGTTAATTTTTCCTTTTGTCTCAGCTCAGCTTTTTAATCCGCTGTTCTTTTTCCTTAAAAATGCAAATTCAACATGGCAGATATCAGCCCTTAGGACTGAATCTGGACACCACTGCTGTAGAGATTTGCACGACGTTCCACAAATGTGAGAAACTCAGGGCAGATATTATTTCTAGTTTATACATTTGATCAAGCTATGAGTTGTTGCCATGTGTCTAAGTGGTTCAGTAGCAGGAGTTCTAAAATCAGAGCTTATTTGTGGTAATAGATTCAATCTTAAACTGGTAAACCACAGTGAAACTGTGAGGAGAATCAATACGCTACTGTTTTCTTTTTGGCTTGTTTTTAAATAGGAAATAATAATCACAACAGCTGTCATTTTTTGTGGCATTTTTATGCTGAAGTTCTTCACACAGTGCAAAAAATGTAAAATCTTGATAAGTCATTTTTTCTTAAAATAAGTGCATTTGTTCTTGAATTGAGGAGATAAAAGAGACATCTTGCCAATGGAACAAGACAATTTAGATTTAAAATAAGAAAACACAATTGCATTGTCTTATTTCAAGTGAGTATTATCTAATTATCTTATCTTAAGAGTAAAAATACTGATTCCATTGGCAAACTATCTCATTAACCTACTCAAATCAAGGGTAAATACACTTAATTTTGGAATTTTTTAATTATTTCTAGATAGTTTTTCCAGTGCAGGTGGTGTAGAATCTGTAGCAGGTGGTTCTACACTTCAATATATCAGGTGGTTTAGTTACAAGGTTCTTTAAAATTACACTGAAAATTACACAGAAATGTACTGATATTAGAAAGGTTAATTTGTATTTTTGAATACTCAAGTACTTTTGAATGTATGTACTTTTGAATACTTAAGTATTTTCAAAAGTGAGTACATCAATACTTTAACTTGAGATGTTTGAGTAACTTTTACTTGTAGTTGAGTAAGATTTGACTATGAGTATCAATACTTTCACTCAAGTACTACTGTTGAGTACTTCGTCCACCACTGACTAAAACAAGTTACTTGAAATACTTATAAATGTAAAAAAAAAATGTAATTTATAACATCAGAACACTATATTTCTTTCATCGATATATTTATTAATTTTACTACCTCCTTCAGGTATTTTTTTCACTGCTTATTTAATTAGGTGTTATAAAATTCTTTCTTTAAATGCAGTTGACATGTAGCTGTTTTCCACCATCCTCCCCTGTTTTATTCATTTAACAACTGAATCCATCCCTTTCCAGGTGAGGTTTTGTGTTTTCCTGTGTTCTTCATCCCCGTTGCTTAATAAAAGCCTGTTTATCTTTGCTTCACTCAGGAAGTGTTATCTGTGACGCCTGCAGTCTGACTGCAGAAGGAGAGTCGGACATCCAGGAAAACTTCTGCCTCAGTCCATATGGTGAGGAACAAAAGCCAACCCTTTCAGAGTATTACAATTTAATATTTTTGAGGGTTTTCCTTCGGAAGTTGACAGAGGAGACAAGCTGAAATTAGGGAGGTTCTGATAAGTGATACTTGTGGAAAATGATCATAATTCTCTCCGTCTCAGCCTTAAAGATGCGCCTGGACAGCGTGTCAAGAGTGGGAGGCGACCGTCAGCTTGTGCCTATGGCCCGCAGCCGCATCCTGAGGTGGGCAGGAGGAGGTGCAGAGCGGGCGCAGGAGTTTGGAGGAGCAAACGCCCACAAGGCTTTGTGGCTGCAGGAAGGAGGCAGCTGTACATGTCCGGATTTAGACTTTCCAGAGATAAACAACGAAAAAGAGCCAAAGAAGGAGGAGAGTGATAAAAAAACGGCAAAAAGAGGAGCAAAGCTGGTGAACAGACACCGAGACGGATGGTACCTGGCTTTAGCCAAGCCTGAAGAGGGTAGACTCGTTTTGACTAGACTTGTTAAGTGGACCCGAGGGGACAAAGAGCTAAAGAAGTTCATCAGAACTCTTCTTAAAAAGCCTTGTCCAGAGCTGTAAACCATTGGCCATTTTAGGTTCTTACAGAACGCTGTCTGTAACCTTATGCTACTTGTCCACACTTTTTATTTATTCACTTGAAATCAAAGAAACACATTCAGGATCTATTAATGCATATGATCCCTAGAAAAGCTTTTTTTTCTCCAGTCTGTGTGGGTGACGATGGTAAAGTTGCATGTAAGCAACTCTTTCATCTTTTGTGTCTAATACTCTCCCATCTATCAGGTAGCCAGTGTAAGCTGGGTAAAACCCTTAAAAGTAACATAATTTAACTACTAATTATCAATATTCTCTTAAGAAATTATAGCTGATCTATTTTTAAGTGGACATCATGCATTACTGGCTTTTTAGTTGATTTCTCAATATTAACACAGAAGCAAATGTTTCTAGAGTAAAAACTTATTTTACTTTTACATTAAAAGCTTTTGTTGTTAGACTTTGCTTTTTTCCCATAAACCTCAGTTATGAAAATGTGGTTATAAATGTTGGTTGAGTATGGTGTTAGAAATGGTGTCTATGAGAGGCAGGAAGGAGGCTGAAGAAGTAAAAGGAAGCAGATAATGCTGAAGTTGCACCACCTGACTAAGGTCAAACACAACCGGCCGAACTGTGGACATCTTGAAGTGCAGAAAGAAACTATATATCAGTAGAGAAGCTTTGCTTTTATTTTTGGTTGAGATGGATTTTTATTATCCCCATGTTAGTTGAGCTAAAGGAGCTAAAGGTGGTTACCCATTTGTCCATTTGTTGCCATGAAATTTCTAGTCATTCGAGGTCAGTTACTCTCAAAAAACTTCAATAGGTTTACAAGCTAGCTGTTTAATTTTTTATGCATTTTCATTATATAACCTTGTTTTTTTTCTTAAGAATGACACAGAAAGGTGTCTTTTCGTTGCAACACCTGGTAAAGTTGATCCAATGTCAGGAAAGTCGTTATTTCACATTCAGTGAAAAGCTGCAGTCGCAATGTTTGTGGGTTTTTGTAGACATGCATGAAAGAAATGTTGTATGTGACACAATTTGCTATGAAGTTGTCTTATTTTGCTGCTTTACTGTTTCCTTTTTCAGAGTTTTCTTAGTTAAAATATATTTAAAATGAAAACAACCATGTCTGAATTAATAGGAAATTTTAAGCTTGATTCAGTTATCTTTTTTCATCCTTTATGTATCCCGTGCTGGAAATGTTTCCTGCTTTATTTAAATAAAGACATTATTATATCACATTTGGTGTTATAGTGGTGCATACGGCCGTCTCTTTCTTGATCTTTCCACCATGACTCAGTGAAAAGTAGACAGAAATCGGACTCCATAGAAACACACCTGCTGATGCTTACTTGAGGTATCGGTTTCATGCAGCCTCCATCAGTATCACTGTCTGCTCCTTCAGCCACTGTTTGCTCTGTTTTCCATATTGACAGAAGAGCATCTTATAGGCGGCATGATAAAGCAAACAGAAACTTATGTTTTAACTTTATATCAATGTAATCACTAAAATATCTGTGTTTAATTACAGTATAGGTGTTTTTTTCGTTCATGTGATGCATGAATTATTCATGTAACAGAGTCTCCAGGGTTCTCGGCGGCGGGTACGCTCCTCCCATGCTCTAGTCTCACTTGGCTTCTTTACTCTCCTGTTCTGCTGAGTTTCATACTTCATTGGAAAACAGGTGAGGTTTTGTTGTTTTTTTACACGCTTTGTTCCTATCTGTGACAACAGAGATGTTGCTTAGAAATTATGCTGCACTTTATTCTTGTATTGATTAAAAGAACCAGATGGATTAATGTGACGGTAACTCATTGGTGTGTAATTATCATTGGATAGCTGACAGAGGCTGAACCATCCATTGCTTTAGGAGTTACAGAGAAACCACTGTACATTGGGCTCATGCCTCTTATTTTAACATCTAAAACTTTCCTCTCTGACTTTAGTTCTTCCAGATCTCAATAAAAATACAATGAATTGACTTGAATTCCTAAATTAAACAAGGAGCTACTGGTCCAGTTGTTCAGTCTTTATACGATTGTCTTTTTACACCTTTAAAATTGTAAAAGTAAACTGTAAAGTACAGTAAAATTTAAAAAAGTAAAAATGTTTTATCTACAACTTAAATAAATGGTAAATGGTAAATGGCATGTACTTATATAGCGCCTTTATTCAAGTTAGGAGACTTGACCAAAGCGCTTTACACTATATTCATTCACACACACACTCACACCCTGATGGTGGCAAGCTACATTGTAGCCACAGCTGCCCTGGGGCTCACTGACAGAAGCCAAAGTGATGTAGAGGGAAAGCGTTTCAAACACAGACTGATCTCATATTTGAGACACTACAAACAAGTTCAAAAAGTGAGACTACTGCAAAGAAGATTGAAAATACTTCTGCTGGGTTATTACTACCATTTACCATATCTGCATATCTGGGAGTGTGTTGAGAGGCAACAGTCTAGAAGAAACACCTCCTCCAGTTTCTATGGGGGAAGCCCAGTATGTCCCCTCCAGCGTGTCCTGGTCTGTTTTTACATATAGGGTGATATATGGTTGGTGACCAAACAGCAAGTAGCTCCATTGTTTGAATTCCTCTCTTCATGAGGTTTACTCTCTCTTTCCATTTTGTAGCTTCTTAATTGGATTTTGCCTTATCCTGTTACTGAAATTAAAAATTTGTATGCAATGTAGATTTTTTTAAAACCTTTTTCTTAAAAGTTTCTTACAGATTTTCTATATATTTTTTTCTTAATGGCTTTTATGTTTGGGTGGGGTTGGGGGTCAGAAATCAAGATCTTATGAATAGATGGTTTACAGCTTTATTATATCATTGATAGTTTATTATCAATACCAGTCATAGTGTTGGTTTTATAACATTTAAAGTGGCTAAAATGATCTCCTTCAATGCAGGAATTCTTAGGAGCAATTGTTAAACTATTGCTTTAACTGTTGAACTGCTGAACTAAAAAAAACCGAATCATGTCAGAGTCTGCATCCCGCTGATAACATCAAACCAAAAATACTGCATATTTGCACCATATATATTAATGCTCTGAACTTTCATATCAATGCATTTTTTTTGCACCATTTTTTTTCTTCCACACAGTTTACATTTGATCACTGCTGCACTTCATGGAAAGGAAATGTTCATTTACTGTCTGAAAAGCTGTGCTAAATGAAATTTCATTTTGTAAACACTGTGTATACAAAATGACAATAAAAGTTGTCTAAGTCAAACATACATAGCTTTGGCCTGTGGATGGAAACTAAACCACCCTAAAATAATAAGGAGAAGGTGTAAATTCAACAAAGAAAGGCTGTGACAAGGATTCAAGTCTAGGACATTAGAAATATTCCTCTAATCTACATGATTGTTTTTGTCGAATTTCCTCTTGTCAAAGTTTGAATGTTACACAAAGCTAGTGCTGGCTTTTGCTAGCTGCTAAGCAATTGAACAAAGGGCTACTCAAATATAAACTAGTCTGTAACACAGCCTGTAGGTATCAACAACATCATACAACATTATTTCATATTCTTGTCATTGCTATTATTTTCCTATAGGAAAAGTTTATTGACGTCTATTACAGAGCATTAACCTTTACACTGAAAACTCAGTACCCATCTTTGCAATTAAAGGAATATCATTGCTGTATTTTTTTACCTTCTGCTACTGGCAGAGTTCTGGTTCTGTTATGTTTTTCTTTTGAGTATTCAGTTTTACTTTGCTCCTTGTTTTCTATTTTTAGTGGTTTAATTCTCATTTTGTTGTGTTCTCTGTTTATTTCTCAGTTACGGTCACAGTTCTGGTTCTGTTATGTTTTCTTTTGAGTATTCAGTTTTACTTTGCTCCTTATTTTCTAGTCTTAGTGGTCTGATTATTATTTTGTTGTGTTTTCTGGTTATTTTCAGTCTTCAGGTTTTTGTTTGTTGCCCTCTGCTGCCCTCTTGTGTTCTCCTTTTTCCCTAGCTCCTTTCCTGATTCTGCTCTGTTCACACCTGCTCCCGATCTGCTCATTAGTCCTCTCTTTGTTTCAGTCTCCGTTAAATACTCTCTCTGTTCAGTTCTTCAGTGCTGGTTCCTCGTCTAACTTCCTCCAATTCCGTCTCTCTGATCCTTCCTCCTCGTGATAGTATCTCCCCTGATGTCTCCATGGTTTCTGGTTTGTTTTGACTTTGTTTGGATGTTTGGATTTCTTGCCTCTGTGTTCAGTTAACCTTTCATTAAACCCACAAGAAAATCACCTCTGCCTCCCCGCCTCTGCATTTGGGTCAACAAACCACAACCAAATCCTGACAGCTACTCCCTTAATGATTTGGTTGCCAATTTTGACCCAGAGTTCGGTTAAACCTCCCCAACTTACCCAGCATTTAATAAAATAACCCTAAAGCTTTTTAAGAAGATGTTTTAAAAAGTTTGTCTCTTTCTGCAAAAGTATTTAAATGTTCTTGTCTATTTATTCTAAATTACAGTTACAGTATATTGTCTTATAGCAGCCTTTTATAATATAACCTCAGTTGAAACCTTTTTACTTTGAATCTGATTTAATAGGGTTTTTACTAACCATCATCATAAATAAAACCACTGTGATAACTAAATGAGAATGCATTACAATTCTGACAAATTGTCTATATTTGTGGGTTTATTTCTATTCAGGGATGGTGTCTCCTGCCATTGCTTTTGCCTTCATCCCCCTTCTGCTGACACTGATAATCAGGTACCGCTTCTATTTTGTGCTGTTCTATCGAGCAGTCCTGGTTAGGATCTGGAAGGACTGTGTAACTGGTTTGAGCAGAGAGGAACGTGCGTTCCAGTACGTCCTAACTCATGCGACCCCTGGGGACCCAGACAGCATCCTCGATGCTTTTGATAGCTGGTGCAGCAAGGTGGAGTACATCAGTAACATCGGGCCTAAAAAAGGTAGAGAACCTGTATCTCAGTAAAATGCAAGAAAAAAAATAAACAGTCTGAACTGTTGCTGCAAAAATTGTATGCCTGTTCTCTGAAGGAAAAATCCTTGACCGGCTGCTGATGGAGCAAAGCCCTTTGACCGTGTTGGAACTGGGAGCTCATTGTGGTTACAGCACAGTGAGAATCGCCCGGGCTCTGCCTCTGGGGGCCCGGCTCTACAGCATTGAGATGGATCAAGGGAATGCAGCCATTGCTGAGAAAATAATCCGTTTGGCAGGATTTGATGACGACACGGTGAGAGGGCAAGAAAATATTACCACCTTCTGAATCATCACCTCATCCAAACTTTATTTAATTTGTCACTTCTGCAGGTGGAGCTCATTGTGAATCCATCTGATGAGGTAATCCCTCGACTGCGGTCTGACTACCAGTTGGAGAGGCTGGATTTTGTCTTCATGGACCACTGGAAGAAATGCTACCTGCCCGACCTGCAGGTTGTGCATAAAATTAAAAAAAAGCATTTCACATATGAATTCAATTTGCAACCACCAGGGCAAATATTTCAGCTTAAACATGCATCTAATTAGAATATGGGAGCCGGTTATTACTGTTATTGCTGCATAAAATTACATTCTATGTCAGACCTTTTTCATTCAAACATGACAGTTTACAACCATAAGTGATAACTTATTAATTTGAGTGAAATACATAATTTCTATAACTCCCATACCTTGTCTCCTTGTTCCAGTTACTGGAGAGCTATGGTCTGCTGGGAAAAGGGTCTATGATTGTGGCTGACAATGTGCTGTTCCCTGGGGCTCCAAAGTTTCTCCGATATCTCCGGAAGTGCGGTTTATACGAATGGAAGATCCACCGGGCAACACTAGAGTACAGCAAGGGCATCAAGGATGGGATGGCTGAGTTGATCTACCAGGGAATCAAATAAAATACACTTCTACTGTTTAGATATAGGTTACAAATGAGAATTTCCATAAAATCCTACTACCATCTAAGTAAAGTGTCTTCCAATGTTCCCATACCTTTAACTTTTTGTTATTTTTTGAAACTTCCCAACCACTGTATTTATTGGGATTTTGTATGATACGTAAACTTAAAGTGATACTCAACTGCCAAGTGAAAAAAAAAAGTGATTAAAAGAGTTTACATTTTTGAAGTGAATTTTGCAATTACAATTTATTTTAGCACTGCTAAATAAAATCAGATATATTAGTAGATTTACCCAACTTTGTGTTTATCAATTAGGAATCCCAATAGGATACCCACAAGATGTAAAGTTTGTGTTTAGAAATAATAGTAAAAATATTTGAAATGCTTTAAGGTATTTATGAATACTTAGGATAAATAAGTATTCTGTTTTGATGCAGATTGTTTGTATTAAAGGTGTGATGTTGTGTTGACTTTGCCTCAAGAATGTTAGAACCTTTCTGTATCCACCCAAATACTCCCTATACGAATCCTTTCCGTGATATAGATAAAAAGAGAGTAAATATTGATCATTTTCAGGAATCAGGAAATTAGATTTCTATCTATTATTCGTGTTTTTTTTTTAATATTATTGTAAACTGTTACGGTTGTTTGACATAACGTATGCATTGATGTTATTTTGAAAAGACGGATCAAAAGGAAAAAGAATAAATGTTACTTACATGTTTACATCGGCTTCAATTCAATTCAAATTTTATTATGGACTCCAGGTCATGAATATATAAAGGAACAGGCTTACAACAGACAATAATAAAACAAACTATCTAAAAGGTTTAAAAACAGCTGCACTGGTGCCTCCCCATCCTGGATTGGTAATGAATGGAACTACAACTGATATTCACCAGGGACATGATAAAATGATTCACAGACTTGTTAAATCCACCGATAAGATCTAGTTCTACTGAGACAAGCATCTCACTGGCACAGGTCCATCTGGGCCTCCTGAGAAAACTAAAAAATCATAGTAGACCATAGAATAGAATAGAATAGAATAGATCCCTTTATTGTCCCACAATGGGGAAAATCAGGTGTTAACAGCAGCAAGATGATTATAGAAAAAAATGGACGACCTGCAGGCTTTGCAAGCTTCCTTTTTTTAGTTTGACTAATTAGCTGTGTACAGAGGATTACAGATTGATTTCACTAACATGTTTTCGCTTTGTCTGCACAGGATCCAAACTTGCATGCAAGTGTGTTTGCCAGCGCATATAATGAATTGTCATTATCATCAGATAAATCCTCTGTAAATATATGCCTGATGTATTTTATTGGGTTTATTTCATTTACACTGTACCTGACAGATAAGAATGTTGAAATTTGGTACTTTTATGCTGCTTAGTTCTTTATATCATTACCAGACTTTTTGCTGATTTGTAGTTAAGGTAAAGCTCTACACCCCAACCTAACAGATATGAAGCAACACTTGCAGCCCTGCAATGCTCTGACTAAAAAACACTAGGTCATCTGCATACATCAAATGGTTTAAAACAAGATTGCCAGCTGTGTATCCAGTAGCCTATTGCAGGCTTGCTGACTGCTGTCCAGATAAAAATTAAAAAGAATGGGGGATATTATCCCCTTTGTTTGACCCCTTTGCCAACCTTAAAGGCTCTATATTATGCAAAATTCACATAAGCTCTGGGAGCCTAATTATTATTGTTATGTAGCATAAAGGGTGACCTTCAAAAAGTCCAGACACAGTTTCCACATTTAGTTAAATTCTGGCTGTATTTTCCTCACAAACTGAAACCTGTAGTTGGTTCCACAGGAGAGGAGCCTGATAACTAAAAGATCTGCCTCCCATTCTACTTTTAGAAATTCTGGAACTCAGCTGAAAGCTTTTAGCTACAGTTTGTGGACTTCCTGATAGTCTTGAAGTAACAAATGCATGGACTAATTTCTCAGCATCACCCCTGGACAGGATATTTCTAATTTTTGCAATATTCCGCTGATGAAAGAAGGAAATTCTAGAAACCTCTTTGATATGGGATTTAAATTACAGGTCCTGATCTAAAGTAACACCAAGATTTTTTACTTTATTATCTCAGATCAATTATATCCTATCCAAATATAGTGAGTGACTGACTAATCAGCTTGTTTTCAAAGTCTCTGGTCCAAAGACTATAACTTCTGTTTTGTCTGGATTTAGAAACAGGAAGTGAAGAGTCATCCAGGTTTTTATGTTTCATTTCATTTCATTTAACCAGCATCACTTCCTTAGCATTTATTCTTTGAATAATGTTGAGTACACCCTGAATAAACTTCATAAACAATTTTCCAAAATAAAAGCTTCTGTCAAACAAAATTGTTCCTCATTGGGCTAACATGGTTCATGTTCAACAGGAAAAATACTAACAATTTTTGTCTATTAAACCGAATTGATACTTTCCTCATTCAAAATTTTACATTTTAATTTCATTTCTCACATTAAACAGCAGGTCAGCTCCAATAAAACATGGTTGTTTTATTTATGAGAAATAAAATAAAAAAACAATAAAAGATATATTAACAAAATTATTTCTTAAAAACTGTCCAAACCTGTAACATAAATCAAAGCATTTGTTCTCAGCTGCGCACCATAAAGACAAGGGAACTGATAGGCAAAATTCTCTAAAAACATAAACATTTTTTATAAGGGTTTATAAATCTCCTGCAGAAGGAGTTTCAATGACTCAGTAGCCAGGTCATAAAACAGAAAACGGCTCTTTTTAAGATGTTTTGTTTTCACAGGTAACAAATTATTTTGCTGACTGAAGCAATGTTAGCTCAATCACCCGCTTTAAACCTCTCCTTCACACATGACTTAAGATATGACAGGTCAAAGTTCAAATGACAGACTGCTGGGTACAGTGTGTGCCAGACAGCTCCCAGGTCAATGTTAGAGTACCAGACAGGTTTGGAGCGGATTTGGCAGGATCTGTTGGTTAAGAAATCCGGACCAATGCAGCAGTATCTTCACACGACTCTCCCATGTTTATATTTCAATGTTTCATGCAGCAAAATTCACAGAAATGTCCAACCATGCCTACAGCTTTTTAAGGCGGATGGATCGAAGCTTAAGAATCAGCTCAGATACCACTTGAAGTAGCTTTTACACAAATATTAAAACATATCTGAGTCACAGAGTGGTTAGGAATTAGTCACATTGTTGGTAGGGGTAGAAATCCAGACACCAGTTTAGTTAAAGATCTTCCTAAATCATCCACTGGTCCTGGTCTTGTTCTGCTCCTTCCATGTCCACCTGAATGACAGAAACAACAATTGATTCTATCGATTTTTATTTTTATCAGAAAGTCTTTTAACTAAAACTAGAGTCCTAAGAAATGCAAATGAGAGAGATGTAAATAAACACACCTCATTGATTTCCCCATCATCAGGCGACTCATTGTAGTCATTCATCTCGTCCATGTCCTGCATGTCTTCTTCATCTTCTGAGTCTTCCTCACTGTCTTCCTCGTCCTCGTCATCCTCTTCCTCCTCCTCTTCATAACCTGTCTGAATCCATTAAAAGAAAACCAGAGTGAACTGCAAGACTATTTATACCCTTTTTAAAAGAGATCTGAAAAAATGTGACAATGCATTGTTTTATATTCCACCATAGGCCTGGCTGTACTTTCAGTGTACTTGTCCAGCATGGAGGCAGATAGGGCTGCAACTAGCGATTATTTTGCAAATCGATTAATTGGCTGCTTTAGTCCGTAATGTAGCGCAGCCGTTAAGAAATGTTATCTACCAGGGTTGTCCTTTAATTACCTACACCCATTGTTGTTGTCATCAGTCGCTGTTCTCTGATTTGCTTCATCTACGTGGAAATTAAAGTAAGTATTGTTGATAGTTAAGAATGTTGTTTAATTAGTAGAATATATTGGTGTCATGCTGTTGTGTGTACATTTTCTAGCTACTAACTTTAGGTTTTTGTGCGTTGCATCTTTTGAGAACAGAGTTTATTTGTTCCAAATGGTAATAACTGATGTTATATTATTATTCTTTGTTTAGAACCACACAGTTCTTTCAAGTGAGGAATAAAGAGAGATCAGGCTTGTTAAACACAATTGGAGGGTGACTGGATTCAATTTGGACTTCTAATTAGGCTCACTGCAGTGATTTAAACATTTCAAACAGCATAACTACAGTCCATATGTTTTACCTGTGTTAGGGCCCACCTTGCAAATTACAAATGGGGCTGTATGGTGGTCCTTTTAGGCGTGCAGTTGAGCCTTTTCTTTTTTCATTTTTACACAGTGGCCTTAACAACTATCTGTAATATTTTTAAACATTAAGATATTTTTCTATAAGAAAATGTAGATTTTTTGTTTTTATTATGTGATTCAGCAGAATACCAAGCACCCATATATGGATGCCATAGTCCTGTCCCAGTTTCAAATTCTCAACCCAGTTGGTTCTTGTCCTTCAATACCATCCAAACTGCTAATGAATAACTGCCATCAAATGAAAGCACAATGAATAGGGATGCTCTGATCCGATACCTGGATTGGATATCGGCGTGGATATTGACTAATAAGCCAGATCGGATATCATAATTAGATATCAGAAATCCAATCCAGCACATTTCATGTGGAAGCATTATTTCTTTCCCTTTACGGATTCTTTGTTAATAAATAATATAAATTACATTTATATCTGTATTAATTTGTTACATTTTTTTTAACATAGTTTATGTCAAAGCTAAATCCCTTACGCACATGGCACTGATATGGTTCATTCATTGAACATTTGAATCAGATCAGTATTGGATATCGGCCTGTACACTCAGCCCAGGTATCGGTATCTTAATAGATCTGAAAACACTTGATCAGTGCATCTCTGACAATTAAACCATTTTTTTTCTCCCACAATGGAGTACGTAGCCTTATTTATATGTCTGTAGTTGTTGGATGCCCTAGAAATAGACTACGCTTAAACTGTAAGTTAATCCTATAAAGCAGAGGTCTTCAACAGGTGGTCCCCTTGGGGGTCCACAGAGGTACTCCATGTGGGTTGAGAAAGTTTTGGTTGATTAGACTTTTTTTTAATATTCCCCGTTGCAATTTTTTCCACTAATTGAATTGTCTATAAATACACATTAACATGAATTCAACACACTGTAGTAAACAGTTAGATGGAGGCAGAAGATGTCTTTCAGTCATCAATGCTCACATTCAGCGACACACAGGAGCTCTTTCAAGCTGTTTCAACCTGTTCCATCAACCAGGAATCAGAATCAGAAATACTTTTAATAATCCCAGGGAGAAATTACTTTCGTTACATTACTCCATCTGTGATAGAGTGACTATAGGACTAGTTTGATGTAACACTATTTCATACACTAATATATAATCAGTTTGGGGGTCCTTGGCCTAGAAAACGTTGAGACTCCTGCTATAAATCAATCAGATATTTCTAAAGACAAATGGTTGCACTGGATTTAATTAAGGATTATCTGAAGAACCAGGTTCAAGGACAAGGGATTCTACTTTTTAGTGTAAAGCAATGTCAAATTCATGTACTTTTCACTACTGAGTTGTTCTGCGGCAGAAAGTCTCAGCTAAATACATGGCTGTAAAGTATGAAAGAGTGACAAATCCATATCTGACACAAGGAAACATAAAACAAGAACAATCTAACGTCTCCTGTTACCTCAAAGATGGGTTTCCCGATGGGCATTAAGTTGTTGTCTTTCTGCGCGATGCTCTGTAACTGAGGCAAGCAGAGAGGATGTGTTAAATCAGTGATATATAGGAGAAGAGAGGAAGACAGGGAGCAGAAACTGGATGTTTACCCAGTTTTGATGCTGCTGCTCCTGCTGATGCAGCTCCGTCTCATCCACACAAGGCCGGTCCAGGTTGAACCACAGGGACTCGGTGATCCGTGGGAGCAGCGACGGAAACAGCGTCGACATGTCTGTTAGAGAATAAACACCAATATAAGTCCGTGACACTTTAAGTTTGAGCTTTAACTCGGAAACATACAGGAGCAACAAGTCATCAATGAATGATTGGAAAGGTTCTTTCTCTTTAAAGAGTCTCTGTAAAACTACCAGGGTATCCAGAAATTCATTCATCATTACCTTTTCGTGCCTTTAACTCTGTATCTTTCCGTTTCTCTCTGTTCCTTCAAAATAATTCAAAAACAACGGAAACCGGAAGTAAATGGTGTTCATCTTTAAAGTCTCCCTCAGTAAAATTTTCGTTCCCATTCGAGAATTAAATCCGCGAAGGAAATAATGTGCTATAAATGTGTATTTTAGCCTTTTATGTATTTTTCTAATTGTTTTAAAACGTTTAAAATTATTTAAACGTCTTAAAAATGTCAAAAGCAATTTTTTGATTTTTTTTTGTGTTCTAAACTCCCTTTGTTTTCTGTCTTGATTTGACAAATACATAAAAGGCTAAAATACACATTTATAACCCATTTGGCCATGTATATTGGTATATTTGTTTCAAAATGGAATAAAGAACACAGCCACATTTTATAAAGGAGGATAAACATATTGCTTCACTAGTTACATGAACAACATGTATGCAAATAAAAAAAGGCTTAAAATTCTACTTACTTTTAATAAGCATAGAAAGAAAAAAATCGATAGCTTGCATTTTAGAAGTAGAAAAATTTAAATGTTCTAAAATTATATTATTTCTGCATTTTTTGTTCCTTTTGCATGGTGCATTATCCGTTATTACTACAATTTCTAACATAGATGAGAATGTAAGAAATCATTTAGTGTCTTCACAGATTGATAAACCTACATTGTGATGTTAATGTTTCATCCCAGTCATATCATAATGCCACTCAGATAGATGCAGCATAAACATCTTAACTGCCTCTCTTTTCCTCTAATGACTCACAACTTCTATATATTCAAGCTTTTTCATCAAGCACTTGGATCAAAGAGGGAGGGAGAACAACCTTGAGATTGGTCAAATTATCTACTGCAGTAGACTATGTCATAAAAGCTCAGATGATCATCCGTTCTTGGTATATTCAACAACCAGTGACCCAGACTTTGGACTTTGTAAAAAATATTACTTAATAGCTAAGGAGAGTTCCATATTTTCCTCATATTAGGGGCAACCTTGTGCTTGGTCACACTTCTCTCCCAGGGAGCCTTACACACGTTTAAGGATAGATGTGTGTTTGGCATTTCCTGTTTTGTCTAAAGAACCGTGCCAGAGTTTAACTGGTGGTGACATTTAACGGATAACTTTGTCCAGATAGAAGCTTTGCAGAATCTGAAAAGGTAAAATATTTTTTTCCTTTATTGCATTTCATAGTAAGTGTTAAAGTGGACATTCTTTAAGCAAGGAGACAAAGTATGATCTAGTTGGCTTAAAGTAAAAGTTTTGATTTCATTCTCTGGACACACCTATAAAGGGTTGAATTGATCTGTTCTGCTGCAGAAATTTAGCATATATTTTTAAATCAAAATTCTTGCTTTGTAGCAATATTTTTATATGCTCTTACATGTTTTATACATTTTGCAACCTTGATAGATTATTTTGTTTTTGTGTGTGTTTTACTCATAAAGGCATGAGATGTGAAGAACATTGCGTTCCAAACAAGAAAAGTATTTATATCCTCTGATTTGTTATTGTTGTTTGCTCATATTACAACAACTAGCATCAATGTATTTTATAGTTTTTTTGTGGGTATGGTGTGCATCTGTTTTACAAATAATAAAATGTTGTTATTTATACAACAAGTATTAAAGGCACTGTACAAAAGGCATCAGATTTAGCAGAAATCAAGTCAATTTGACCCAACCGTACAGAAAAAGTCATTTACATATTGTCTAATTTGATCTCAAGTATAAAATAATGCTGTCAAGGTTGGTTTGCAACTAATACTAGTAAACATATCTAACTAAGGAAAATAGCTGGTTGTGTAAAATCACCAACTTTGCAGGATTCATTCCCTCTTAATGAACATATGAGGTCAGCTTTGAATCATTAACTTATCAAGAATGTATGTGGCAACAGCAGCCATCTGATACAACTAATGAGGGATTTGAAACAACAGAGCAAACATACAAAATGCAAAGCAATGGTCCAGAAGTAGTTTGTAAAGAGAGGTAAAGAGTTAATGGTAGCACAAAATGGCTTCATGGTTTAAAATAGGAGGGAAATATAACTGAGCCAACCACAGAACAAAATCAACATGTTGGTCATAAAACTTGAAAACAAAGCTAAAAAAAAATAAGGCTTAATAGCTTCTTCTCTTATCTGACCAAGACATAGAAAAAACACCCTGGACTGAGTGTTTTCAATCAAGCTAATGGAAGAATTGTTATGTTATTACAAAGTAATTAATAGATTCCAACATTGGTAAGTCATAACAGTTTATAAGGTGAATTGGTAGACATGCCTTTAGATTACTGTGGAACTTTGAAAGGTACGGCTGTTGTTTTCATGCTTTCATGGCCATATGATAAAAACCTTTTTGTTTCCTGTTCTCTCCAGCCATGCTGCTGTTCCTGGCCTCTCTTGTAGCCCTCTCTAGTGGTGTCCTGTCTCTGGATAAACTAAACATGTGTATGGATGCAAAGCATCATAAAGTGGCGCCTGGCCCTGAGGGAGCACTGTACTCTCAGGTTATAACACAAACCGTTTTTTACTGTCTCTAAGTTCTTAGGAGGGCTAGATTTCTAAAGTGAACTATGATCATGATGTAACTTCCCCTTTGCAGTGTGCTCCCTGGCGTGATAATGCATGCTGCACTGCAAACACCAGTGAAGAAGCCCATGAAGACAACTCCTACCTGTACAATTTCAATTGGAACCACTGCGGTGCAATGAGTCACAAATGCAAGCAACATTTCATCCAGGACACTTGTTTCTATGAGTGCTCGCCTCATCTGGGACCTTGGATACAACCTGTGTGTATTGTCGAAGTTTTTGCCTTTGTGTGTCTGTGGGAAAGTAACACTAGATGGCAGTAAAAGTATTCAACCAAACTAAAGTTAATTTCAATCATCCGGTAGTTTCAAAATAATCTGAAATACTTTATATGTTTCACAGCTAATTAGACAATATTAAAACGCATACATATATTTATAAAGATTTTTATATACAATATAAAATGTCTGGTATACATAAAAAAATATCTAGAAATATGCAAATATTCAACAAAAAGGAACAAAAATGTAAAATCATAATAATCAAACTTCACGGTAAGCTGTTCTAAATAAAAATAAAAGCAATAAAGGTGTGAATAACTTTTTAAAAGTGTAAATTTTTGAAAAATGCCTTGATCTTAGTAAGAGATTTATGGTAAAACAAACTTGTAATTAATAAAAAAAAAAAAATCTATCAGTCTGGAAAGTTGTATAATACCATTTTAAAGCTTTCAAACTTCAGTAAAACACAGTGAGAGCCATAATCCACAAATCAAGAAAACACAAAACTACAGTCAACATTTCCCAGAGACACCAACCCACAAAAAAATTCCAAGAGCACAATGACAATTCATCAGGTAGCTTAGAACACCTAAAGCACTGCAGGCCGAACCTGCCTTTATAAATTACTTAATAAGAAACGGAGTGAGTAAAATAAAATAAAGACAAAAGTACCACTAAATTAACAAACAAAAATTAGGAAAAAAAAGGTCTATGAAGGTGCGTGTGCAGGTAAACCTGACAGCAGACAGTTGTAGTAGATAATAATGGTCTATCGCTAAGTTGCAGGAAAAGGATCAAAAGCAGACAGAAAAAAAAAACTAGATTTAAATCTGCAAAAGAAGAGTGAGATAACTTTAAAAATGTTGTTCATATTCAGAAACTGCTCTCAGTATTTTCCATTTGAACATGCAGGAAAGAAAGAGCTGCTCATAATGCAACAAAATCAGAAAAAGCTAACTTTTCTTTCATAAACCTATGATGCCTGAAGGCAGGGGTGTAGCTACGGGGGGCTAGGGGGGGCCATGGCTATGTGGACGTAATTCACCACCTGTGGAACAAGAGTTTCCTTCAAGTGAAATGTCCAAACTGATTTTATTATTTAGTTTTTCTATTTGTAGTGGAACATTACAACAAAAATATCTAAATTATGTTTTCCCACATCATTATACTAACAAGGAAGATGAATAAAACAGAATTGCTCTTTTCAGAAATAGTTTTTGTGTTTTGTGGGGGAGAAGTAAATAGAAAAACAGTTTGCTTCTTGCTGCTCAACCATTTTCATGGTACATACAGATAATAGTTGAGTGAAATGGCTGATACTGAAGCTAACTTAATACATAAATATTAGAAGTGCAAATGCACAGCAAGAGCACAAATATTAGCATTAGGTCAGCACATCAGAAAGACTGGCATGTGGGACAACCAATGGATAAGATGATCCCCTGGAAGCCGAAAGAAGATACACCTTTAACTATACCTTTAATTAGGACAGCAATGTGTTTATCATAGAAACAAGAGGTAACAGATGTAATTATATTTAATGAATCAGTTAATATATAAAAAAAAAATATATATATATATAGAATAAATCTTTTATGTGCTACACTTTCACACAGGCACCAAAAGTTAACGTTAAGCTGCTAATTCTTGATTCATTTCAGGTGAAAATTAGTTCTAAAACCCTCTGGGCTGGTTTTATTGTTTGGTGATCTGAAAGGGAAGAAAATACTTATTCACATCATTGCATCTGTTTGTTGAAAGACAATGCATGGCTAAAAAGAACATTTTTCTGAAGCTTTTCTGATTTAAGGTTATAACTATGTAAGGAATACTCAAATGGTCCAAGCAGCATTATATTGGTTAAATTCTTCAGCAGGAAAGTTTACATTCAGGTTGAGGCCCAGTTGTTATTTGAAATCATTCCGGCAGTTCAACAAGTGTTTCGGATCAGCTGCAGTTTTCGTTTTTAGAGGAAACAATAGATCTAAGAATCCTTAATGAAATGAATTTGGATATCTGGAAGTGGACCAATCATGGACCCTTGAGGGACTCCAGGAGTGAGGAAAGCTGTAGATGATAACTCCCTCCAGTATATTAAACATCACTCTCTGCAGGACATAAACCAATGTAGAGCAGTTTTTATTAATCCTCCCACAGAGCTCCATTTGTGCTATGGCCAGAAAAGCTGCTTTGAGATCTGAAAGAACTGACTTTGTCACAACTACTTGACTCTGTTCCCTAAAACCAGATTAAAATGTTTGCATGATGATTTTCA